TAATAATTACAATATTATAATTTACATATATATATATATATATATATATATATATCTATTATTTACACATTCTAAAATAAAATAATAAATTAATCGGAGTCGAACGAAACAAACTAAAGTCGGGGTGAAGGGAAGTGTGTCAGCAGATCGCTCTGATTTACCAAAGACGTCGCTTCGTTTGAGAAGTACGTGCTAAACGCGCATTCTTGATAATCGTATCACGCGGAGCGAATCCTCGTCGTCGCGTCGACGCGGGGTTAAGATCGGAACACACATACACCGTGACGTCACGAGACAAAACGCGTTCGAAGCCAATGGTTATATGTATCAACGAGAGCGGGTACCAGCTATCAGTATTAGTCCGGTCATCTTCCTGTGCGCGCGCGACACGCCGCCGATTGCGCGCGCGGCGATCTCTTCTCGCGGCGCCCGAAAGAAGATTCGTATTTCGATTGAATTAAGCGCCTCTTAGCAAGTTGCTCGAGCTAATCGCAAGAGCGCTTCGTGAACAAAAGCGTCTTGGTGGTAATGAAATACCGTCGCTTTGTGAACAAGACGCGGGTCAACAGACGGGACTGTTACGATCTTCGCGCGCGCGTCTATTGTCTTCCGTTTTCCGGCAAGTGATCACAGTCGCGATACAACTTTTGCGTTTCCGTTCGTTTCCGTCAGAAAGAAGAAAAGTTTTTCGTCGCGTAGTTCACGGCGAGATGATGTCGGTGCGAATCAGATGCGTTTGATCGCGCGTTTATTCGTGTTTGTTGACTTGGCGATCGCCAGCGATGAGATTTCGCGGGACCTGGAAACAACACTTGGCGAACGCGGGTGTTCGACCTCGTGCTAAGGCGAAACGGTAGCGCGAGCGGTGCCGCGTGCTCGCCCCCCCGTACTCTGTGCGTCCGTTAACACCACTAGAGTTCGATCTCGCTGCAAAATTTCATCCCCTTTTTGTTCTCGTAAATTTCGCATGTTCTTGTGTTGCTACGTGCCGCTTTGTGATACGGAACAGCTGACTCGTCCGGAGCCGATCACGCCGTTCATCATGGTTAGTTCCACACGCCACTTTCCTCAATCTCCGTCGATATTTTCGCTCAACGAGTGACTCGGAATCACGCGACACATTTGTATGATAATACATAGCTCCGGGTTGAAATTTTCGGAGACGGAGACGAAACCGCTTTAATTGCAACCGATTATTGAGAAAGAAAGCGGAAATTAGATATATACGCGCGTCGCGCGAGCGCGGATTATCAATGAGTTTATAATAATTTATTGACTCCGTTTTTTAAGTGTTCGAAACTTGGTCAAGCGTTTCTCCTACGTAGATTTTAATCTGAAATCGCAGTTGATTAGAAGCTGAAATCTCTTCAAGGGATAATGTCAGAGGTTATCTTGAATATTCGCCAGCGTGGTAATTCTCGGTAAAATTAACGAGTAGTTTTTCAAGGATATTGTCTAGAGAACTTTTTTTTTTCCAACGGTAGTGAACTTGATGCAATCTTTTAATCAGCGAATTCTTAAATAAAAAAAGACTTTGCCTTGCCGTTGAAAAGTTGTTTTAATAATAATTTAGTTAATAAACTTATAAATTAAGTTTAATAATAAGAATAATAGTAATAATGAGATAATAAAATAATAATAATAACAATAACAATAGCTTTATTGAGCATAGCATAATAATAATAATAATAATAATAATAATAATAATAATAATAATAATAATAATTAATAACTTTATCTCAATAAAGCTATTTTTAATATTATTGTTATCTATAGACAGTTCATGATTAGAAATATAAAGTATCATTTTGTAACGTAACGCTATTAAACGAAATTAATATGACACACGCGATATCTTATTGTCTCTTCGTTGAATTTGATTCTCCGCATTTACATCTCGGCAAAATAATAATAAATCAAACATTGTGTAATCTCTCAAGGAAGATTACAAAGGCGCGGAGAATCTTTGTTCGTGCTTAATAATAAGAGAAGACGATCGATGCCTTCGCGCGCGAGTGAGCGCGCATTATCTCACGGCACATGGTTCGGCAAGTTCGTTCTCCTTCAATGTGCCGATAACGATTGAACGAAGATCCAGCTTCCCGCTCAAATACCATTTCGTCGACGTTGACCGATAAACGCCGAGGCGCTGCTTCAGTTTTAGAACCACTTTGCAGCGCTTTTCACAATCGCAGTGATGACAACACGTTAGAGAGACAATTAACACAGACGATCGAGCGCACATGTTGCGACACGCAAGCGCGAATGATATTGTTCGAAATTCAAAATCAAATCAACGTGTAACAACGCTCTGTGTGTAACGTTATAATTATACTACAGGAAATACGTAAACACGCCTTATACACCGTCTTTGAATTTAAGACCGTGCGCGGTGCGCACCGCTTTACATTTACGTATCCACATGGGCATACGGCCAGTATTGCGTAAAATTTTCTCTGCCAAAGGCGCCTATTTTCTCGTTTCCGCGCAACGACGCAAATGAAAACGACGAGACGTTCCAAGTTTTTGTCGTGAAACCTTATTACATCTCTGTAAAGTGACAAAACACACAGCTGATGATGATTATACGTGTGTATACGAGCGTCGTCACACGAGAGATTACTTTGTATCAGTTCCAAATGAATCATACAGTACGGGATATTATTATTCGCGCATATTGTATGCGATAGAAAAAGTCACGCTGAGATTATTAAATTTATTTCACACAACCTGATATATATATACATATATATATATATATATATATATATACATNTATATATATATATATATATATCATATATGTATACATAAACATACGCGTTAAATTGTGATAAAAACATGCGCCGGATTGCAAATCTCGTCTAGGTTTTTGCTTGCACGTTGCGTTATCAATCGTAAAGTAGTTTTGCAGTTGAAAAACTTAGATAAAATTTATATTTATAAATAAAATTTTATATTCATAACTATTAAGACGTTTATTGCGATCACTGCACGCGAAAAACCGTTTGAAACCAAAGTTTTCTAACTTGAGTTGATTGCAAACAATTGAGTGGATAACAACAAAAGCAATGGAATAGAAGTTCAGGAATTATCAAAAGGGCTACGTAATTATACGCACAATGTGAAAGGTACGTACGCATGTGTTTTAGAGTATATTGCAAACATTATTGGATAAATTCATAGCGCGTGACCTCGTCCGGTTTTAGCCTAAATGGATCCATCATAAACGGTAAAAAATGAATTTTCGGAACGGAAAAAAATGAATTTTCACGACTGAAAGGGTTAGATCACATAAATTAATTATCCGTATTAATGAGATAAAAGAGAGCGCGTAAGCAGTTTATGTTTAATCTATTTTTAGTAATAAAAGTGGCTTCCACATATTATAATTTACAGTAAAATATATATTGAATATATATTGAAATTATTTTTTTATTATCTTTTAAAATATTTTTTACGGACAAATAACCGCGGTGCGGTTATTGATTCTCTGGAGTGTTAATTTATTTTATAATAATATATAATTTATTAGCCAATTATTTGTTATCATTAATTTCCGAGCTGTTTACAATATATCCTTCTTTTGTACGATTTCAGTTTCGCTGAATATCCGCGTGTTTTTTTACTGAATCTCTCTGCGGATTGCACGTATTTACCCGCGACATTCAACGCTCGCGTTCGCGCGGCGAAGTTTTACGTAAAAAGTTAAATGGTCCTCTTCCTCCTCCGAGTTAAGTAACTTAGGTCTACAAGGCAAGATCTAGGTCAACGTTAAATGTACAATTAGTTTTAGCAAGTACAGAAGGAGAGATAAATAATAAAGGAACTGATAGAGCGACTGTTCGTCGAGTAGTGCGACAGCTATCAATAGTGCAATTATAATTGAATTGTCACATCATCAAAACGATCTATTGCACATCTCCTTAGGCTAAAATCGATAGATAAAACCAATCGATAAAATGCTTCGAAATATATTTAATCGTGTTCAGACGAAAATTTGATATTTTAACAGAATTTCTTTCAAAAAATGTGTTGTTAATAAATTTGTTACACGTGTATATTATTAGGGGAGTACAAAAATTTTGATAGATTGATAAAAAACAATAGGCCAATAGTAATTTTATTGAAAACGATTTATTTATTTTACCAAGTAATTCTCATTGTTTTTTTATTTATCTCTCGCTGTTATACTTGGTAGAACGAACACAAATCGTTTTTAATAAGATTATTTGATTCATTTTTCTATCACGAAATTCATCAGATTTTTTGCATCTACTCAATATATTTATATATTGAGATAAATATACATATATATATATATACATATATATGTATATATAATATGTATATTGTGTATATATTTATACATATATCAATAAATATATGTATAAATATAATATAAATACAAAAATAATATATATACACACAATATACATATACATATATCCCCGATGTAATATGGAGTGTCGTAAAAAGATATCTGAAATATCCGGGCAGCTTTTAAGCGCTCGTTCCGAGCGTCGCGATGCGGCGCAGAGCTCGCGCGACTCGAGACACACAGCATATATCGTGAAATACTGCGCCAACGCTGTCGTAGGCCGCCGTCGCCACCACTTTGCGTCGCGTCAAAGGTCCGCGACATTAATCCTTTTACGTGCGGATTTGAAATTTTTTTCTGGTCACGTTCGGAGTGTGACAACTTCGACTTCTCGAGAATTCGGTGCCTTCGAACGAAGGAGGCGGATCAAATATGTGAAAGAAAACAAGGTGTAGTGGATCGCTCACGATACACGCGCGATCATCGTGGCTACCGTTAAATCCTTAAATTGATAGCAACTCATACACAATGAGCTTCATTTATAATCGCTGACTCTAACTCGAGCTACTTCGGCCGGTTACGAAATGCAAGAAGCGAGTGGTCACTCTCTCGTGGTAGTCGGAGAGTCTTTGGCAAACATCGAACTTGGAACGTCTAATAATGCCCGAGAATGTTGCTTTAGCGAGTATAAATATAGATGAGCGCGCGCGCGCAGAGTTTTATTTTTTACCACGGGCCGGGTGTGCGTCATTTTGATTGCATTATTGTCGCGCACATTCGAGTAATTAATAATACGAGATATATTTTGTTTACGAGAGATCTTCGATTCGAAAATTATGTTGAGTAAGACTCGACGAGACTATCGCTTCGCTTCTTTCGAAGTACGCGATCGTAATTGTGTCTGACTCATGCGCGAGCAATTTTACTTAAAAATAATTGTATCGCGAAATTGTAAAAAAACTCAAACGCTCGAACGCGGCTATTACTGTGACTTTTATCAGTCTAAAATTGTGAAAAAAAAACTTAAACAAGCAAGCGGGAGGGTGGGCCTATCTGTAGGATATTTTCTAGACGTTGAGGTCTTAAAGATAAGACCTCAACGTGGTTGCACAACAATGCGCAAGTTTTAAAAAAATTAACGCGTAAATGTCTTTAGTGCTGAGTTATCGTCCGATACAATCGAACGTTTGCAAGTTTAGTTTCCCATGTCTTATTGATTTTCCATAAAAAATTTAAAAAGATGAAAAAAAAAAAAATTCTGTCCTCAGAATTTGTCTTCCATTTGTATTAATGTGACTTGGAGATCTTGAAAAAATCTACTCGAAATCTTTCGCTCGAGACTCCGTACCTTAGATATATAGAAGTGATCGGTGGTTTGTTTTTGTCGTAGAATACACCGCGAGAACTGAAGCAGTACGTTTCGCCGCATGGGTGCCTGGGTTGACGATCGTTTCGCGGAGGAGGAGGTGGTCCCAAGTGATCAAAGTATCAGTTGGACTTGGAGAACACGGGGCCGCGAATGCAATGGTGGTGGACCATTGCATGGTCGACCGAGTGCCGACTATCAATCGCCAAACAACCTCATCGCACCGACCGGCTGGTCAGCGTCCCTGTTGCCGTTGCGCCGTCAGTTCACCAGGCAGCTCTACGAGTGGCCTTGTTTACCGTTGTTCAAATCAAGGACGAAACTAGACCTTTACTGAATCTATAGATCATTCCGTTACGGAAACGCGAATCGCGCGCCTGAGTTTTACTTGTAAACACAGATTGCTCTTTGTTATCGCGTGTGATTGTTGCGCATATGTGAGTGTGAGTGTGTGTCTGAGTGTGTGTTTGCGTGTACACAACGTACATCATTGGTTTCACGAAGAGAAATATTGGAATTGAGCTACCCAAGAGAGTCTCGTCGTTCTCAAAGTGAATTTCGACGACGGTGGTCGTAACCCCCCTCACATTCTTCGTTTCTTCAGTATGGCCGAGTGGACCAAGTTCAGCGGTGCAGGAGACAAGTTGAGTCAACACGACGAACGAACGACGAACGATACGACCGTCACGAATACGACGAAACGGTCGGGCGCTGAAACGAACGACCATGAGATTATCGATAAAGACTTGCGCGTGGTGAACGAACGAGATGATTGCGATGGCGAAAATCACGATTATGATTGCAAAGAGAAAATCGCGAGCTCGAGTTTGATTCAAGAATCGGATCACGCCAATGATCTTCAGAACGATTCGAAATCGCTGAAGATGCCACGTGGGGAAGAAGAAAAGAGATTTGTGGAGAATAATCCAGAGCGAATGGACGTGCCGGGTTCACGTATACGTCAGGAAGCTCGCAACGAGCTGAAGAAAACCTCGCAAAATTCGCACAACTCACCGAAAAGACCGAACAGTCTATATAAAGAAGACGCGTCCAGTCCGCAGAAGTTGAAGAACGTTTTCAACGAGAGAAATACGATTTTCAACTCGCCCACTAGGATTCTGTCGCCCAAGAGTCACTCGTCTACCGAGAAGAGTACTGAAAAACTCGTGAACGGCAAGTCTCCCAAGGAAGACAAGCAGCAACATCACGTGCAGTTCAATAAAGAATTCAAGAAGCAGCAATTACGCCCCACTCCTGAGGAAAGACCGCATCCGAGCCCGTCGATCTCGACGTCCACCACCAGCAGTTCCGAGGACAATTCCTTGGGACAGTTCTCCGAAGCGAGACCGCCCGACGGAGGTTGGGGTTGGGTTGTCGTAGCGGCATCTTTCATGGTCAATCTGATCGCTGATGGCATCACTTTCTCGTTCGGAATAATATACGTCGATTTTCTGAATTACTTCGGCGAAGGAAAGTCCAAGACAGCGTGGATTGGCAGTCTCTTCATGGCGATGCCGTTGTTGTCGGGACCGGTGGCAAGTTTCTTAACCGATAGGTACGGATGTAGAAAAGTGTCAGTGGCTGGTAGTCTACTAGCGACGGCCGGTTTTGTTGTAAGTTCCGTAGCGAACTCGATGGAGGTGCTGATCTTCACGTTCGGCATCGTGTCGGGTTTCGGTTTGTCCTTGTGCTTTGTTGCGGCGGTAGTGATTGTGGCTTACTACTTCGACAAAAAGAGATCGTTCGCTACCGGTCTGTCGGTATGCGGTAGCGGAATCGGAACGTTCATCTTCGCACCCGTCACGCAATATCTCATAGCGGAATACGGCTGGAGAGGAACAACTCTGATTCTGGCTGGATTCTTTTTCAATCTCGCCGTGTGCGGTTGTCTCATGCGTGATCTCGAGTGGACCACCACTAGAGCGAAGGCGAAGACTCAAGAAAGAAAAAAGAATCGGGAGAAGAAGAGATCGAAGATACAAAGCTCGAGCGCGGATTCATTCTCCGCCACTAGTTCGGCGAACACGACTACGCAAACGCCTCGCGGTTGTGATTCGAAGAGAGGTTTCGCATCAGCTAACGCGATGATAATTGAGAATCTCCGACTGCAGGACGGGGACGAGGGAAGTGGCGAGAAGTTGTTCTCCAGTCTGGTGAGCCTGCCTACTTTCGTCAAGAACGGGGAAAAGGTACCTCTGGAAGTGTTGGAACTGCTCAGCGCGAACAAGACCGTTTACAATGTTTTGCTGCAAAATTATCCGAGTCTTCTGATATCATCGAGAAGTTTCAGCGATTCCGGGGCGTTGCACGATCAGCTGAGTACACCCTCGGCCCGGTTTATACCCACGCCGAGTCCGTTAGCTGAGTTAAGAGTCGAGGACGAAAACAAGGAGAAGAATAACGACCAGCAAATTCATCGCGCCGACGAGCAACAACAGCAACAGCAACAGCAGCAGCAGCAGCAGCAGCAGCAGTCAGTGGAACCGTCGTATTTGTGGTGGCTGAAAAAGATCGATTCCGATGCCCCGTTGAGACGATCCAGCACTCTGGAACAACCAAAGAGACTGCCTACTGCTTACTTGAAGGACATCAGAATGCACAGGCACAGTCTGACTTACAGAGGCGCCATGCTGAATATCAATCGTTATCGTCTGCGAGCCTCCAGCTGCCCGGACATCTATAGAAACTCGATGACCACGATCGCTAAGACGAAGCTCGTCTGGTACTCCGGACTTTGGGAATTCTGGGACTTGATTGTTGACATGCTGGATTTCTCGTATTTCGCCGATCCGAGGTTCCTGCTGTTCGCGGTCAGCAACTTTCTTCTGCACACGTGGTATGACGTGCCTTATGTCTATCTAACGGACAACGCGATCGAAGTTGGATTCAGTCAGACGGACGCGTCTATCCTGATCTCGGTGATCGGGATCGCTAACATGGGCGGCGAGGTAAAAACACTTTGAACAGCCGTGAAAATTAATACGGCACTTTTCCTCGTGCGGTGATCAAAAATCGAAACACAATTTTTTACAGATTCTTCTAGGCTGGGCCGGTGATAAGGCGTGGGTGAATGCATCTATCGTCTATGCGGTATGCATGGCGCTCTGTGGCGCCGTCACCGCTCTCATACCCATAGTTATCAGGCATTACTATACTCTATGTGCAATCTGTTGTGCCTTTGGATTATTCATCGCAGCGAATTACAGTCTCACCAGCATTATCCTCGTCGAACTGATTACCTTGGAGAGGTTCACGAATGCGTACGGTCTTCTGTTATTGGTTCAGGGAATCGCCAATCTCATGGGTCCTCCACTAGCCGGTACATAATTCGCAGTGACCAATGTCATTCACTTGATTACGAAACGTTTTAGCGCATAAAAATTAAAGCAAAATTACATAAACAAATCGAGATCAAATTTCGATACTTGAATCTTATGGTTTTTCTTGTTTCAGGATGGCTGTACGATATCACGGGCACATACGATTTGTCGTTTTATTTGTCGGGGCTGTTTATCGCGCTAAGCGGCGTGTTGTTGATAGTGATGCCTTTGATCAATCTATACCGGAGGTGTCAGAGCGAATCCAAGGAACAAACTTCCGATAAGAATTTTAACGAGATAAATGTGTAAATATATGTTTACGCAAAAGAAAAAGTAAGAAAGAGAAGACGAAGAAAAAACAACCATCGCCCAACGGTTCCATTTTCATGCGACTCAAATCGCGGCATCACATAAAAGGAATTGCGACAGAATTTTACGAGATTTGCTATAGGTATATTTATTAATTTCATTGTCACTCTCTGCAACATGCTACGTGAGTTGCTCGAGCCGGCTGTGGTGTATTACGTAGTATATAAGTTTGTCGAGATGTTCCTCAACAAGAGGGATCACCGACCTTTCTGCGACAATTAATTGCGAGCGACTCGGATAAGAAAAGAACAAAAAAAAAAAAAAAAGAAAAGAGAATTGTACATCGTGACGAATCGCGTCAACAAATTATTTCTGATTCTTCGTGATTTAGTCTGCGTGCAATCGATGCTTCGCTAAAAAAAAATCTTTGCGAGACTTTACCACTTTTAATCGTCACTTCTAATCTCTTAAATATTATACGTATAAAAGAAAATTATTACCGAGAGTGAGTATAGTTTTAATATTTACAATATAGCGTAGAGTGATATTGCGATATAGAATTATATATGTACAAATTAGAAAGAAAGGAACACACGTGCTGCTCGCGGCAATGTAAAGTCGGAGGACGTGCAAAAAAAAAAAAAAGAAAAAAGAAAAAAAATCGATTCGTCGCGCGTGGTTCTGTAATGCGAGTTGACGGTAATTTATATCTTGTCTAACATGAAGTATAATCTTGAAGAATAACAATTACCAAAGGAAAACGATTGATTCTTCAATTATTGTGATTGACTTAGTTCACAAGATAGTTTATAGAATAAATCTCTTCCCTCTTTTTGTGTTTCTCAATAAAATTTTTTGGAAGCTTTGTTAAAAATCTTCAAACAAGTTTTACGCCATGTGTAATCGCGCATTAATCAGAATAATTGAAAAATCAAACTCGTGGTTTCCTTTTTTGTAAGCGTAATTTCGAATCTCAGGATATTATCAACAATTAATATACATATATATCTATACAATTAATATACATACCTATTATAGGGTGGAAGTCACATCGAAGCACCTTTGATGTTCTCTCGTTTTTGATGCGTGTACAGTAAAAAAGTCGCAAATTCTACGCTTGTAGCCCTCCCCCCGCTATTTCTTCATCGAGTGAGTTACATTCTGCGAAAGAGATTAGGTTATTGTATAACTGACAAGTTATCCCCATTTTCCACCTAACGCGCCATAGGTATTGCAAATTATTAATTAATCATAGCATCATCCCCCCCGACTTCTGTGTAATCGTCATCTTGCAAACACGCAGTTATAGTTAATGTGTACAATTTAAATTTATATTTGTTGTGAGATATTTAAGTCGCAATCTCTTTCAGGTAACTCATATGTATTGTGATTCGCATTTTTTGCTCTTACTCATACTTTTTCCTGTTAAATAAAACTTATTGCATTGAAACTTTTTTTTTTTTTTTAGTTAGGACTGTGAAATCATCGTATGGTGTGCGTCGTGGCTTCAACACGCAGACGAAAAAATTCGCTTGAAATCTGTATACAATTTTTGTTCGCTTGTTCGCTGCGTGTTGAAGTGATGAGGAAAAAAATCCCCGTTATATGTAACACGTTGAAAAATTCTCTGCGCGTATACTTTCTTTTGTGAGGTAAAAGCGAAGAAAAGTATAGTGAGGACGTTAAAGTGTTTTGTGTTGTATCGAGAAGAAACCGGAGATATGGTATATCGAATATTTCCATAGCGAGTTCTCTCCTTTCAGAGCGCGATGCATGCGCGTTTTTCATTTGGAATTACATGTCTAGAGAGAGCGAGAGAAAGAGAGAGAGAGAGAGAGAGAGAGAGAGAGAGAGAGAGAGAGAGAGAGAGAGAGAGAGAGAGAGAGAGAGAGAAAGAGAGAAAATGGACATGTGCGTATAGCTCTTTTCTGTGATCACGAAACTTGCCTCTTTATCAATTTTGCAAGCTATATAAATAGACTATACTACCTCCGTTACCATAGTATGCGTACGCGCATATATAATATGATGTATATGTGTGTGCATGTTGTATGTGTGAGCACACGTGTCCGATTTTTTTCGATCGTAATAATAAAACGTAATCTTAGTTTGTGCGTCTAGTTTATTCCACGCGATTTGTTTTATTGTCTGTTAAACAAAAAAGTATAAAAGTGAAAAAAAAAAATATGTTGCCATACCGTAGCAATTCTCGAGTGTACGCCGATGTGATGCAACGGCGAAAAAAAAAAAGAAAAAACAACCTGCTGTAAACTTACGCGAACGCATTAAAATAACGATCAGTTTTTTTTATTGCTCCCAGAAGAATTTCAATCGTGTGACGAGTACACAATTGCTTGACGAGATCGAGATATTTTGCGCATTTCGTTAAAAATCAACGTCAACAAAGATCGAAATTAAAAAAAAAAAAAAACAAAAAACAACCCAGAAATTAGCAAGATATAATAGGGTATACATTATACACACAATATTTTAGAGGTATTGTCGATAAAAATTTTCCGCAGAAAAGAATTTTATATTCCAAAAAGAATATTTCTCTTGTAGAGATTGAATATCCGCCATAGGAATAACGTACATATAACACATTTACGAGGCCTTTATACGAAATAAAATATAAAATAATATCTATTTGCTTTCAGAGAGAGAGGAAGAGAGAGAGAGAAAGAGAGAGAGAGAGAGAGAGAGAGAGAGAGAGAGAGAGAGAGAGAGAGANAAGAGAGAGAGAGAGAGAGAGAGAGAGAGAGAGAGAGAGAGAGAGAGAGAGAGAGAGAGAGAGAGAAAGAAATTAAGAATTAAATCTAGACGATCGTACGTATATTATAAATTTATATAAACGGGCAACACACACAAGACATCTGTGAATATTCTTTTCTTGTTAGTGCCGTACACACACATACACTGACCCGCCCGCGTAAGTTGATAATAGATTTATAATCGAAAGTGAAACTAACGACCCTCAGCGGAATTTTGAATTCCGTACAAAAAAAAAAAAAAACGTATTCTCGATTCTAAAAGGTTACGAATCGATCGGTGTCTTATTATCGTGTCCGGTGCCAAGAGAGTCCAAAAATTAATATATATATATAATACATGGGAACGCAATAATTTATTCTACAGTATGTAATATATACACATGCTCGCATTATATATTATATATATATATACACACACACCACACACGTATGCAAATCTTGGGGCATCTATGGAACATATATATAAAAAAAAGCAATATTTTAATATAAAAGAAACAAGATGTGTGTACTGCATATGTATGTACATATATATACGTATATACAATATATGTATATATGTATATATATATATATATATTTACGATATCAAGTCGCCGGCTTCGCACATGAGACCCTGATCTTTGAACAATAGTATTAAGCGAGATACATATATAGAGTTATTACACAATGACACAAATTCGCGAGTAAAAAAAAAAAAATGATCTAGTGAAAGAGTAAACGAGAACACAATTCCCTCCCCCCGCACGAAGGAGGAAAGATGATTTTCCGAAAAAAAGAATAAACGAAAGAAGAGGAAAGAGAGAAAAGGAGCAATGCGCGATAAAAACAGTTTTTTTTTTGACAAAGTAAATTTCATTATTTATTTACGCGAGGGATTGTAATTTTGATATTTTGCCAATTCCTCCCGAAAAACACTGAAATGTTTATAGATCGTACGTATTGTTTCTGACAACTACAATCAGAGTGAATTTAGATTCAAAGAGAATGTCTCATATGTGTACGTATATTCAACACTTACGCGTACATATGTAATTTATATATAATTTATATACATGTATGACTACGTTTACACGTACTGGTAAAACCGTTTTTTAGTACAAAACCGGACTTAGATGTCCGTTTACAGGACACCTAAGTCTGGTTTTTACTAAAACGGCTTTAATAACATCAGTACAAGGAACGTTTACAGGACAATCTAAGTCCGGTTTTGTACTAAAGACATCTAAAACGGTTTTTTTTTTTATTAAAACGTTTTTACCAGTACGTGTAAACGTAGTCTATGTAGCATATATATGACACCATATCTCGCCCGCGCAGAACAAAAACTCTATTACACATTTATTAGACACGGCTGTTGACGTCGTCTAATGGTCGTCTAATGGAGTTTTTGTTCTGTGTGGGATTTGACACTTTATTGGCGTAAATCATTAATACTATGGATTTGAATGTTCTTGTTGACTCTTAAATATAAAAAAAAAAAAAAAGAAAAAAAAATGAACGAATTTACGATTAATCTTGTACATGTATACGTAAATTATTAGCCAAAATGGCAGTCCTTACCACACAAGAACGATGCACGTCGATTTAGAGATTCAAATAAATTCTGATGTACTGAACAAAGAGTGTTTGTGTTTTTATTTCTCTCGCTCGTGTTCTCGACACTTTCGGCGTGCGGCTTTGATATGCGCGCGGATTGAACGAGAAACTGTCGTGTCCTCGAAAAATCTGAAGAAGAGAGAACGCGTAGACAGAATAATTTGAAAAAACTTATTGTGACTGAAAGCAAATTTTAGTATGAAAGTTAATGTTTTTTTTTTTTTTTTACCAATTCTCTGACTCGACTTTTTTTCGGCGAAAAAGATCTTTGGAATCGCGGGTTCCAACATCCTATCTCCGGACGCGTACGGTACTAAGTAAAGTTGGTCTTTTATCAACCTCGATTAACTCGATCGATCGAGCGTCAGTCAGTGATTGGTTCTCATTTGACCAGTGCGATCGATCGATTCCGACCGAGTCGATCTATCGAGTTGCAAGCAATGTTGGCGGCACTGTTGTTGGCAGCACTGGGTCCGCCTTTATTGCGCGTTCGATCTTGCAGTTCGATTTCGCGCACACAGTGTGTGCTGAATTACCGACCGGAAAGGACGCGGAATTATCGTCACGTACGACCGGATGGTGTCGAGTGACGTTGGATGGCGTCGGATGACATTGGTACGTGTGCATGTGCATGGTGACATTGGGCTCAAGATAATTTTATCGACCTGTTATAGGTATAGTTTACGCAGAGTTATATTTTAACGCTCGGGTACAAAAATAAAAAAGGTGTTTCCGCGCGCGAATGTAGACGAATTTCTGCGCGAAAACACTCTCAGAACAGAATCACGCGCGTTCAAGATTTTTGCGTGAAGGAAATTTTGAGGTAAACAATTTCTAATTCTAAATCTTACGCTGCGAAAAAATTTGCATTGTCTCGTAGTGCTTTTAAATTCTAGCCAAAGACTACTTTTCTCTCTCTCTCTCTCTCTCTCGTAATATTTATTTTTATTCATAATGCGAGATAATTATCGATAAGATTAAAAGTGACTACTTCGCGGTTGTGTGACGCTCTTTATGACGCGCGGGAAGAAACGCGACGGTAAACTATAATCTCAATGAATTCAATTTTTTAAATAGTTCTGCGTGCTGCATTAAATAAAGATAACAATGTATATATGTGTGTGTAACAATATATATAACAATATATGTGTATATATGCACACATATATATATATATGCACATTAAAAATGTCAAAGTTTTTGTCACACGACGTTTATTTGGTGTTTGAACTGGGGCTGTGGTGTTATCGCGCCGTATCGTGTTAACCGAATGGCTCACATGGTCTCTTTATCAGCTCATCACTTTTCCCGATATAAGCGCGATTTTTTGACACACTGCAAAGTGTCGCAAAACGGTGTTGTGAGAGGAGCGCGCGCATCCAGGAACGAAGTGAAGTTGAATCGAATCCACGGCACCAGGGCGCGGTGAGGGGGTGAGGGACGAGGGCTGCGAGGGCAAGTCGACGACGGCGCGACGGGGAGACGAAACGACAGAGGCGGAACACTCGTGGCGAGACCGAGAGACGAGACCGAAGCGCACACGCGTGCACGAGTCAGGTGCGGCGCCGACGAAAAGAACCTTTTCCTATGACGTGGATTCGAGAGACCAAGGCTTGCGCGAGAACGGCCACACGCTCGTTCGCTCAGTTGTACCGGGTGTCCTGCACAATCGAGGCGGTCGTCGCACGATAATCTTGTGTCTCTCTCTTTCTTTCCCCGTGTGTCTCTTCGCTTTGCTATATAACCGAGGAGGAAGAAACACGCTCGCCGAGGCGAATGCGCGAAAACGTCGCCAACGACACAATAAGAAGACGGCGCAAAACGCTTTTTCCGACAAACATCGTCGTGCCAGACCGCCCGAAGTCTTCGGTCACGACAATTAGCGCGAGCTGCACGCTGGTAAGGAAGCTCCCCAGTCGCGTCGTCTCCTTCGCCGACACGAAGCGGGTTTCTTTTCGGCAGGACTTTTCGCACGCTGACTTACTTTCTTTCTGCTTCTGTCATTTTTTCTTTTCTTTTCTTTTTTTTTTTTAATCCCGTCCCGTTTTTCTTAACATTTCTGCAACATGTAGCAATCGATAGTTAAATGCACGAGGATAACGAGAGGTGATTAAAAATTCGTACATATATATTATTAATGAAGAGAAAAATTCTCTGTTATTATTTTAATCTTTGTTTTTGTAGTTACATATTAATTGTTACGTGTTGAAAACATTGAAATGTATGTTTTTAGTATCTTTGATGTGTGAATACACTTTTTCATTTGAAATGTCATTTATGTATACTTTGTATGTGTGTATAATTTAAAGAGACAATATACTAAATATTCCATATGCAGTTACGCTTATCGTTTATCACATTTATTTACTTTTGTTATACGTTCTGCTAAGTATCGCTATGCTGAATAAATATGTATGTTCTACCGGAAGTTTTTGAACTTCGAACAAAAACTTCGGGAAAGTTTCATTGATGCAAATTGAAATGTCACACAGTGTGCATAATTCTTGATCCAACACAAGGACTAATAATTGCATACAAAGCACGTAATGCTCATGCGTCTATTCTCTCTTTGAGTTTCTGACATCAGTCTAAAAATTTTTAACGTCAATATGCAGTGCACAAGCTGAGATACACACACATACGAAAGAATATTATGTGTATTCAAAGTACATTCCGAATCCTAGTGAATTTCCAGTGAAGAATATAGTGAATTTTAATTCGGGACTGTATAAAATCTCTGATTTTTTTTTTATTTGATAAAGTTTTATAAAAATATTATAAAGTTTTATGAAAAAAAAATTTAAAAAAATTTTTTTTCGCATACGCGATAGTGAGCTTTCTAAACTTTGTAATAAATATATTTGTGATATAAATATGTTATTTATGATAAAAATGAAATTGTTGAAGACAATTAACTTAAAAAAAAGAAACTAAATTGATAATGAGCAATCGCTTTTCTTGAAGCGATAAAAATTTTTCTCTGCGTGTGTGTGGGTGTGTGTGTAAGTACTATTTTAAGTAGTTGATAATATTCAAATAATTCAAAAACTGAAAAGTTTATGTGACTGGAACATCGCCAACTAATATCTAACATAGTGAGGACAAAAATATATTCTACGTACCCATATTCATCGTGATATAAATATTTGGCAAAATTCGATGGATATATACGAAAGACAACGTAATGTTTGCGGTGCTCTAAAATTATCTTAATTTGCGAAAGTTCACCTTGACTGACTTATACAATACTTCATTATTTATAAACTTGAACAAATTGCTTATACTGGAGTATAAAATAACCAATAATGTACGCGCGATTATTGAATGATCACAAAAAAGTGATACGTCATATGTCAACATTTATATCACCAACGGTTATTTTCTTGTCAGGAAAACGCGTCACAGCTTTGTGCAGTGTCCATTTGTGAGACTTGTACTTTTCCAAAAAAAAAAAAAAAAAAAAAAAAAGATATTTTGTAGATAATACAGCAACATTATCTCCGAAACTATGTGTACTATCTATATAAGTATCGGGATCACCGGGACGTGGGTTCTTTATTATCAAACGTTCTCTTTTAATCTTTTGTTATCCTCGTGACACAACATCGTCTAGCTCTCTCAATTATCTTCTCTCGTCCTAACAGAGCCACACACAACCGGATACATCCAAATACAGAACACAAAAGGCAAAATAACGCGAAACAAAATAAAAACCAAGATATGAGGATCTCAAAAAGACGCAAGAAACAATTGCAACATTTGTATAATTGAAAAAATGGGTGAGGGTTGAATGTCTCACACGTTAGCCCGGTGAAAAGAAATCCTTCGTATGTGGAAAATAAATTAGATATCTGGTTAAATCTGGTTATATCTGGTTATATAATTATATGCGATCTCACGTACAAGAGAGATTGAGACGCTCTCCCTCTCTCTCTCTATATATGTATGTACACACATATATATGAGAGTATATAATTATACATAATTAGATATCGAATTTGTTCATACATATGAAGGACTTTTTTTCCCCCAGAGAACAAAGCTTGATTTACATTTGTTTCCACGTGATCGTTCACGTTAGTTGGATGTTACCTTGACATATCTCGCGTATTGATCTTTTTGTATCTGAATTAGTATCGAGAGAGGAAAAATTTCTTTTTTCCCTCGATCTCAGTTTTTATTTGCTACACGAAGAGATGTGTGTTTCCTTAATTTTTCGAATATTAATTAAGAAGAATTCCAAATGTCAGACTGTAATATGTTTCCACGTTATCTTTCTCTCTCTGTGTTTTTTTTTTCGCACTCTCTCTTCCTCTTTGCTTTCTCTCGCGACGTTAAACGCGTGTGGTCGCAGGTAACCGCACTTCTATTAACCTTCTATTAGTATATTTAATCGCGCACTTCTGTTATTATATTTAAGTAATTGCTCATTAGCAATTACTTAGATTAAATAGTTGGTTATAGCAAATTACTTGAATTAACGATAAGATTTGATTAACGATAAGATTTTATTGTGCCACGCGAGTTTATTTCCACTCAGCAAAATCTGCGAAAGAATCTCGCTTTCAAGTGTATGCACGAAATACCGGTATTCACTGGTATAAGTTAACGTGTTTCGCGGTATATCAATTCGGAATATTAGAATGATGTGTTTAAATCGATTTCTCTTTCTCTTACTCTCTCTATCTCACGCGGCTTCTCGTTCTATTGCACTTTCCAAGCGAGCAGCCCGCATTTCAGATAAGCAATCCGGTGAGATTGCATCAGACAAATATTAGCTAGGAATTACTCTCTTTTCGGACTTAATTTTTTTTTATCGGAGTCACTAAATAAATACGGCGCTTCCTGTTTTTTTTTTTTAGAAAATTGAAGTCATTTATTCGTAGAAGTCTTATTCCTTCGGATATGTTCGAGGAAAGCGACATTTAATGCGTGACGCGTTAGTTTATATAACTATTTTCCAGAACAACAGAACGAGACGAAGTTAACACGTGCGGAGTTTTCTAGAACGCGTACGCATCCTAACGGCGCGATTAGTCGAAAATAGACGTTGTTATCGAAAAGGAAGCAATTTGCATGCAATTGGCACAGCAATTTTCTGCCGACATTGTGTTTTGTTGGATAAATTGTTTCTTGTTTTTTTTTTTTTTTTGTTTTTGTTTTTAATTTTTGCGAACTCGCTCGAATTCTTATATTTTAAACTTGTACGAGATAAAAATTTATATAATGTTCAAAACGCTGAACATCCTTGTATTTTGGTGGAGACAGACAGTCGGAAATCGACCGGTCGGTTTCCATGGCAATCTCACCCCTCTGCTCTCTTTTCTCTCTCTCTTTCTCTGTCTCATTCTTTGTCCGTGTTTCTCTTACAATTAGTGCAACATTTATACGCGCGATAACATTTTATCTATTTTTAAAAAAGTCTCAATTACTTGACGCTTACTCGCGCGTATATATCTAAATTACATAGATACTAAAACAATTCGTTATATAGTTTTCAAGCAGAAATTACTGCCAATGTCAAATGTGTAACGAGAAAATATATTATTTTATCTAATCTGTAATTCACATGCATTACGTAATTAGACTGTTTTCTCGTGAACTATTATATTTGCCAACAAATAAATCGTTGAATAACTCTCGGCTCTCTTTTTTTTTTTTTTTTTTTTACTTTGACGAACTACCAATAACATAATAATAATAATAATAATAATCGATAAAAGCGAAGAGACATAAATTTTATTTCTCGTATTTGCGCCGTGGATTCAACTGACGTCTGATTAGGTGTCTGTAAATCTTTCTGTTGTTTGGCACTAATTCGTGCGTCTGGCGTGTGTATTATATAGCTCTTGCATCTCCACGTCAAATATTGACGATTACTCGTACGTCAGGACGTTGACTTTTTTCCGTCAGGAATCGGGATTTTTGCGCTTACAGCAAGCACGAGCAAGCGCTCGAAAGAAATATACAACACATTCGCGAGAGACGAAGTAAAAACTCTCGCCCCCTCTTCTCCTCCCGTGGGATTTTCTCTCACGAGAGAACCGACTCGTTGTTCAGCGAGCTCGTTGAGTGAGGACAACACGCGTGATACACGAGTCTTAATTTATCTTAATCTATCTTAATGCGTCAAAACAGTAGTCATGCAATTCTACAATTCTTGTTTTTCCTTAAAGCGCATAAAAAGAGAGAGATAGAAAAAGAGTCAATCTAATGCACAAGAGTGTTATGAAAGATCACACTTATAAATACACGGAATTACTGCCAATTGCCAAAAAATTTTCTCCTCGGTGGATGTCGAGAGTTTAAAGTTGTGCAATACCTACTAAAATATTATTAGACCGCCGTCCGACGAGAGAGAGACAGACAGATAGATTAAGATATATATATATATATATATATATATATATATATATTTCTAATAATAAAATCACATTCGTTTTTAAAAGTTTTCAGTGTTTCAGCATTGCGATCAGCACGTAATTTTATATTGAAAAAAATATGATAAGAAAACTGCGTTTTATTATTCTCTTTTTGCTGCGGAACTATTGCACACGCACATATACAATTTAAATATGGGAGAAAAAGCTAAAAGCATGTATTTAAAAAATTCAAAAAACTGTACATAAATTTTTCTGCGCCACTCGAAAACCGAACGCACGTGTGAGAACCGAACGTATCGTAGAAATTCTGCTGAATCCTGTTAACTAATTACCTACGCATGAATTGATAACGCTTTCTAATTTTAGATTCTTTCTTTATTTCAGATAGTTTGACACGCAAAATGCATCTGTTTCCTTGCTTAACTTATTATCTCATTTTAGCTTTTGTCCCTCGAATTGAGCATCCAGTTTTGCATGTGTTTGCTTAATTAATCATTCGACTAGCTAACTAACTAGCAATGGATGTGATCTAATCTGTATTTTGTTTTCTTTCGTTCGACTATCTCTGACTACTGTATATTGTATATATATTACGCGCTCACGTCGACGATTGTTGCGCATGCACTTACTCACATCCTTAGTCGCATACACGCCTACATGAGCACGTTATTTGCACTGTCTCGATGGTGAGTAATTAGTGATTTTATCTTTTCTTCTTTTTTTTTTTTTTTTAATCATTTGGACCCGCTTCTGACTTTTGCATCTATCGTGATATAACGAGAGAGTTACATAGTGCTTACACAGTTTTACGAAGTTTCACATAACGCGCCACATATGTAAAACCCTTCGTTCCGCGTATCGATACGCACACGTATTATCGAACTGCGAAAACGGGCGCGGCTTTGTCATCGTTACGTTCGACCTTCGCAAAAAAACTCATTACAGACACGTATACATATATATATATATAGCGAGATACGAGATATGATAAACCGCAGTCCATCTTTTGTCATATTGGTATTCCGCGAAAAATTTGGCGCATACGTATCTAATAATCGCTCGTCCATCGAGCAGTCGTATCGAAAACGTTGAAAACGTACGTGCGGTCACACTATCTGCGAACGTGCAATTTTAAGCGAGGTAAAATCTTATTTTTTTTTTTATAATATATATATGCCATCGCACTCGAACGACGCGTATCGATCGATGGGAATACGCCTAATGGCCTAATTTAATATACGTTATTGAATTATTTAAAAACTAAGTAAATATCCGTCTTATTTTCTGCGTTTTGACATTTTTGATTTTTGGTATCGCGTGTTGAAGGAATTGCTATTTTTTTTTTTCGTTGAGACTGAATGTGAAAACTCATCGCACTACTTGAAGTATGTTGTCGACGTCTTTAGAATTCTTATTTCTTGATAATTGTGTCGTGTGTTTGACAAAATGCTCTTGTGACTTTTATTCTAGTTTGACGTTTCTTCAGATATTTTATGTAGTCTCGACGTTATCTGACTTACGACTTTTAATTAACGGTTCAACTATTGTATTTAAGACGTACGGTCATTGTTACCCTACGTGAGTTTTTTTAAAAAAACATTTGGTTTTTTATTTGTAAATAAAGGTTTTGTAAATGTAAATAAAATTTTGTTTTTCGTTTTTTAATTGTTTTTATTTGTAAATTTTAGCAAAATAAAATTGATTTGTCAACGTTTTGATATTACGTACATCTCTGTATTTAAAAAAATTAAAGTCTAAAAGAAAACTTTACGAAACATTAACTAGTAATTAATCAGCTCTTATTAACTCTTAATTTATCCTGTATTGATAGGTATACGATGTTTTATTCACGTATTTCCTCACAATTTGCATGTATGTGTATTTTATTTCTCGATACTCTATTGCATAGAAATAAAACTTTTCCTTGTTTTACCGGCACGTGCGATCATCACGATTGAGAAAATCGTTAATTAACGCAATTGTAAAATTGTTTTTGCAGGACGGGCAATTCAAGCGACGCGAAGGTGCGTGTATGAAGGTGAGCTCCGTGCGGTCGACGTTCTGTGAATTGTCGAGGATTTCGAAGGTCCTTATGGTAACCGGAGGACGAGGCGGATATCTCCCCAACGAGTTTCAAGGGTTGAAGGGCTGGCGGCGCCGGTGGATTCACTCGGCCACTACTTACATTTAGAGAGACAATGGCCAGCAGGAAGAGCGAAACTATCCTGCGTGAGGATCAAGTAGATGACGATTGTAGGAACAACAGGAGAAGCAGTAACCATAACAACAACTATCGCTCCACGAGCGCCGCCAGAAAAGAGGGTTTGTCAAGCAAGATTCATCATGATCAGCCACAGAAAGCCCCGTTGGTCGGCTGGCAAAATGGCAGTCCCACTATTTGCTCAAATCCCATCGTCAGGGGCGATCTCGACGACGTTGGTCCGTATTCGAGAGGCTTTAATTTACGCCAACCTAGTCTGGACTCGACGCAGGAAGAGCCGCACGACACTGCGATCGAGTTGTTCGAGTCAAACGCGCCGATCAAAACGTCGGAGCAAAGTGGTGCATTGAACAACATTCAAGAATCGCTTATTTATAGGAAGAATCATGATAAAACGGTGCGAAATACTGGTGCTACGGCGAATCAACTACAAGTCAAGAAATCTGGGGATTGCGAAACTATTTCGGAACGGGAGGAAGATTCTTCGGATACCAGCACGAAAGAAAAGCAGAAAGAAAAGCCGAAGGTGCCGGATGGTGGTTGGGGTTGGGTGGTTGTCGTCGCCTCCATCATCATATCTATGGTAGCCGACGGTATCTCCTTCAGCTTCGGTCTCCTTTACATCGAGTTTCTTCACGAGTTTGGTGAATCCAAATCTAAAACCGCCTGGATCGGCTCACTCTTCATGGCCGTGCCACTTCTATCCGGACCAGTCATGTCCGCCCTCGTCGATCGTTTCGGTTGTCGCTTGATGACTATCGTAGGCGGACTGGTATCGGGATTGGGATTCATATTATGTATCTTCAGTAACACCATCGAGATAATGTACTTAACGTTCGGCGTCATCGCGGGTCTCGGTCTGGGTCTGTGCTACGTCACCGCAGTCGTGAGCATCGCCTTTTGGTTCGATAAAAAGCGCACCCTAGCTGTAGGTCTGGGTGCTTGCGGCACCGGCATCGGTACTTTTGTCTACGCGCCGATGACTACCTACTTCATCAATGAATACGGCTGGCGGGGCACCTGTCTACTTCTGGCCGGCACATTCTTCAACATGATCGTCGCGGGAGCCGTGATGAGGGATCCGGAGTGGTGGATACTCGAGCAGCGCAAGCACCACAACCAAACGGCGAAAAAATCGAACGCTGCACGATCGGACGGTGTGAAGCCAGACGGAAGTCCGTTGAATGAGTTTCCGGGGGTCGAGGAACTCAGAAAATTGTTGAGAAGCGAGCACGCGCCTGAATACCTTTTGCAAAATTTTAGCACGAGCACCGAAGCGACCGACGGCGCGAAGAGACGCACAACGAGCGTTGTTAATCTGCCAACTTTTGTAAAGTGCAGCGAAAAAGTGAGTAACCGATTTGCGCAAAAAGCGACAAATTTTTTCTTTTTCGAGCAGTATTTATTTATTTTTATTTCAATCGCCGGTTTTCGCAAAGAAACGAATTTATATGTGAGATTTCAGGTGCCTTTAGAAGTGTTGGAGTCATTGCTGAGCAACTCTAAACTCTACAATGTCATTCTGGAAAACTACCCCAGTCTTCTGCTGTGTAGAAGCGTGTCCGATAAGCATCTCAATGGGAGAGATTCAATACATAATTCTATGGGAGAGATTTGTACTAATAAAAGCGGAGTCACTATGTCAATGAGGTTACCTATCTCTGTCAATATTATTCGAATATTTTGTTAAATCCCTTTTTATCGTCTATATATATATTTTTTTCTATATTCTCTTGTAACAATTGTCACGCGAATAGTCGAATATTTAGTCGAGTATTAGTGTCGCTACGACATGTTTAATCTTTGTTACGTTCGACGAAGGCTTAAACGAGCATCGGAACCGAGAACGATCACAGAACAAAGGAAAGATTCTTGTCCGTCGTCCATTCAAGCTTCGACGAAGCCGGTTAGAAGAACATCTCGAAAAGAGACAGAGGAGACTAATCCGTTGCTGACGAAAGAAGTCGCGCACACGGTAACGAACGGTGTGACTCTCGGTTAATGAATTCTATTGCTCGTCATAGCAAATCAAGCAAATACTTTCTAGGTCGGGCCGGCAGAAAGAAGAAAAAGATTGACTAGGCGTCACACCACAGACGAGCCGCAGACTAACGTTATCAGGACGGACTCGATACCTTGGCTCAGACGACAGTTCAGTACAAATACTCATTATTTCAAGGACATCCGGGTGCACAGAAATTCCGTCATGTATCGCGGCGCTTCCTTGAATCTGCGCAAATACAGGCTGAGAGCGAGCAGTTGTCCTAACATCTATAGAAATAGTATGATCACGTTGGATAAAGAAGAAGAACAGGTATTGGAGAAAGTGGTTATTAGTAGGGAACGCGAGAGTTTGCGAGAGATCTACAGTTTGTATTATTTCTTTCTTTCTCGCCTTTCCTCTGGGTAGAAGTGGTATGCCGAGCTGGTGGACTTGTTGAAGGGCATGGTGGATTTTTCCATGTTTCTCGAATTCCATTTCCTGCTAATGTCATTATCGACGATAATGCTGTTCACTTGGTTCATCGTGCCGTACTTTTATCTTGCGGAACATCTGACTAGAAATGGTTACTCCGAGGCCGACGCCGCTAATCTTCTCAGTATTATCGGCATAACCAATACTATTGGAATGGTAATCCTTGCGATTATCACAAAGTTAATGTTTATTCTTTCAAATAACAAAACTTTCTCTCATATCCGGTACTGTCGCTTTTTCTAGATCGTTCTAGGTTGGGCCGGCGATCAACCCTGGATGAATGTTGATAAGACGTACGCTTGGTGCCTAGTCGCTTGTGGAACGTCCACCTTGTTGATGTCCGTGTTCACTCACTATTACATATATCTATTAATAACCTCAGCGTGTTTTGGCATCTTCTTTGCCAGCTCCTTCAGTTTCACTCCTGTTATATTGGTGGAGTTGATCCCTCTGGAAAGATTTACCACCGCTTACGGCCTTACCTTGCTATGCCAAGGAATTGGCAATCTCCTTGGACCACCTTTGGCTGGATGGTTCTTTGACATTACGGGCACGTGGCATCTGTCTTTTCTCATGGCTGGCGGTTGGATTATTGTCTCTGGCATCCTGATAGGTATTATACCGTATACAAAGAATAGAAAAATCTTCGGCAGTGGACCAATCGAGAGGGAACGAACAAACGACGAGTGCTTAGCATAAAACAAAATTATATATTTATTATACACACATATATATATATATATGTATATATTATATATATACATTAAAAAATTGAAATTGTGCGTGCGCACTCTACCGTCAAAAATAGAACAAAACAGATAAAATCATCTTAGTGGTAAGTTAGTTTTGTTCTTATATGTTTCATTTTATTTTTTATCAAAACAAAATAGAAAGTAATTTTAGAGCAACAATAATTTACCACTGAGAAATATGACACTTATTAATTCTAACAAAAAGACATAGTTAGAAAAGATAAAGTTTGATTTAAAGTACGAATCTCATTACACTTACATCGAATGAGAAATACGTCAAATGCAGTTTTTTTTTTAAGTTTGCTACATGTACTCCCTTACGGAAAAAACGTTCAACTTGACCGTAAACTTGCAATATTCAGCGTTATACGTTCAATTTTTACGGAACGTTTTTTCCGTAAGAGTTAAAGTACAGACAGCACTTTTGACATCATTTTGACCTCTTTCTCGTACTTATCTTACAGCGTACTTTTTGACATTTTTCTCTCGTACTTAAACTCAAATAGTTGTACTTACGCATAATGCAGCAAAATAAAATATAATGTTTACAAAATGAAAAACTATGCCGACATATACGTATTGCACATGCGACGCAACGCGTATCCATGTATCTATCTAGCAGAGAGCAAATAAAATATCTAAAGTGCAATTACAGTACGTAACTTTTGCAAGTACGTAATTTTTGCAAAAAAAAAAAAAAATAAATAATTGTTGCAAGTTGTTAAATGTACTTTTAATCGAATTATATATAGTACAATAAATATTTGCTGCGATAACATAAAAATAAATCACGTTAAAATGGATTGTTTTATAAATAAAACATCTTCACATTCAAACTTTTTAACTTGAATATTTAGTGGTATTCAGTTTAAAACACATGTCGTGTTTGAAAAAAAAAAGTAAGTTGTGTGAAAGATATAGATTTTTACCAATTGTTATCTGTTTAAAATTGTTATTCGAAAGGTAATATGATGCCGTCGATCTCTTTGTTTGTCAAATGTACAACTATGTGTATTCCTCATTTTCAATAAACGTGACAATATTACACCAACGACACCAACAATTTGATTGGCTGCTTTTCTTTTGACGAAATTTGATTTTTTTGTGTAGAAAAATGAAAAAAAGATAACAAAAAAGAAACTCTTATTTATACCGTCTCGCGACGTTGCGAGTGTAAACGTCGTCTCAATATCCCGGTGATGTCGTCGGATTGAGCAGATTAGGGCTCGGACTCCGACTTGGTAATCTCGGAACGCCTAGGATGGCGGCCAAATTATGAACACTATGAGGGAACGTTTTTGCGACGATAAAATGCTGAGGACTGATCATTGCGTCTCCCATTATACCGAGACGCACTCCGTTTCCGTATCTGTGTAGAGTTATAGACATATCTGGAAATAGTAAACACATATTACGATTTTGAGATGAAAAAAAAAAATATACTGCATAAAAGAAGTGACTTATCCCGAGTGACAAAACGTACTGCAATTTCCCTGCGGCGGACGCCAGTAAATAACCCCGTCCACGCCTTCTACGGGCAAGTCTCCGTCGACGTGCGTCAAGCACAGAGAATATCTTCTCGACAGTTGGTTCAGAAGCAATTTCAAGATAATGGACGGTATGCACGACGATACCACACTGCGGGACGTTTCCGCTGCTGTGATGGCATAAATCGCGCTCTGTCTCGATCTGGCTTCGTGAATGTTTCGTTGAATGACCTTACAAAATGATTGATTATACGTGTGTGAGCGAGCGCTGAGGAACGTAAGCTATGACAAACAGCGCGTTGAGAATGTTTACCTGCAGTATTTCAATGAGATCGTCGTGAAACAATGGCGTTCTGGTGGGTAATGCGAGGCACAGGATACCGTGAGCCTCGTGATTCCGCAGAAACACCGCCCACTGACTCACAAACTTCACGGTCGCGAACACGTCGTCCGGAATGCTGACGGCCGAATGCCTGAAGTATTCTTTCAGAGAGTCCACCGTGGCCGCCAACAGAACCTCAGTTTCCGTCGCGCCGGTTACGTTGGCGATCTCACGCACCAGTTCGATGTCGATCTCCTCCGACCAGGCCACTACCTTTCTACCGCACGGCGAGATGGTTTGCAACTGATTCGACTGCGGATGCTTGAGAAACAGCTCCTCGATGATGATCTTGGGCGCGGTCACGGCTATCCAACTGATGGACACTACCTCCCGAATGGCTTGAAACGTCAGTGGAAGGTAACACGACGCCATGTAGGTCAGAGTGTCCGGGTAGCAATGTTTGTGCCGCGATTTTAAAGCTTGCAACTCCCGGATGAGCAAAAGAGGCGTTTTTAGTAACGATACGATTACGATGTACCAGCACCAAGCAACGCAGGAGTGAAGGACGCAGATCGGATTGAAGGAATGCATAATGGAGTTGAATATCAGTCGGGGATTGAAATTCCTCTTGTCCGATTCGCGCTGGACGATCGACAGGAGCTTCAGGAATTTCAGTCCTTCTGACTTTTGGCACGGTCTACAGAAAGTTGCGAGAAACAACAGTTAACCGTTTGAATACGACCGTGAAGATGCGAGTGTGATAAAGCGCAAAAAAAAAAAAACAAAGAAAAACAAACAAACAAGTGGGAAAGAAACGATTATCGCCTCAATGATAATGTGTGTACGCAGCAAAAAAAATACCTGGTTAGTTCTTTCAAACTGCACACCAGCACTATCATCGCGATCTTGACGCACTGGAACATCCCTATTCGTTTCTTCAGTATCTCCGGCCGTTCGACTGGATCGTTATTGTAAAGGAAGTCGTTCCAATAATTGCTGAAGCTCTCGCGGAGCATCTGTCGGAGACGCGGCAGAGCGGTAGGCTTGACGTACAGATTCGTAAAGGGCGAGTCGCTCTCCTGACACGTCCAGTTGTCGGTCGAGTACTTCAACGGCAGAAAGTCCGCCAGGGTCAGGTGTTCCTGCCGCAGTAACAGATGATGCGCCCGCACCAGACATATCTGTCGCTCCTCACCTCGCATCAGACAGCTCACCACGTGCACCTGCCACGGCGGTAGTTTTCGCGGAAGAAACTTAGACGTGACGTCGCTTATGTAATCCTGCGAATAACAAACAACGCGATATCACGCGTCAAGTAGAGAGAATCGCGCGCGCAATGATATAATAAAAGCATCTGACCTGTATATTGCCTTCGGTGAGGAGACGACCGCGGAAGGAACATGGCGACTTTACGAGATGATTGTCCACGGAGAAGTAATCGAGTTCTCTCCAGACGTAGACGCTCCATCGCGTGGACAGAACCGATTTGAGAAATCTTCTCGTTGCGGTCAGGTGCACCAAGTGATTCCTCACTCCGTCCACGATCGAACGTCCTTGGACCAGAAGCGTGCATATTCCCTGCATTGTGACCGTGTACGTCAATCGATAAGTCAAACAAAATAAGATTCGTGATTCGTATTGATACCTACGTGGTTTCGTCCTTGGTCCAGAGTACTTCGAATACTGTTCTCCTCGACAACAACATAATTCGGATACTTCCACTTGACAAAACGTATCCAATACTTCCTCGTCGACGTTACCGCTTGAAAATATCAAAACATATTGACGCGATATAACAGCGCGATATACATCGACATCAAAATACACCGATCGAAATGATTCGCAATTGTACATGTTTGCTTAATACGCGATGGAATTTGAATTGCGTTACAATCAGAAAAAAAAAAGTACAATATTTTATTGACAAAGATTGTCGCGATCGAGTGCGGCGCGTCAACACGAAGATTTTTTTGTATAAAGTTTGTAAATAAAGTTACGTATCTTCGCGCGATCGGTCAAAGAAAAATATTTGAAGTAAATAAAGTTGATTGAACAAAATAAAATAAATTACCTATGTATGCGGTGAGAAGCAGCGGAATCAAGAGTAGAGTTAGTGCAAAACTGAAGCCGAGATTCACCAGCCAACTAACACAACCGATCATGACCTGTGTGATACACACACGCGACAACACAATATATTCGTCGACGTTTTAACAATGCGAGTAAGATCTCACGGGAACCGGAACCGAACTGTAGTTTTACTGTCGTAACTTTACTTTCGACCTTACTTGTTGGTCGGTGATGTAAGTCGACGCGCGACGACAAGACGCGGCATCTGCGTACATAACTAGAATGCAGTTATACGATTATTTCCGAGACTGACCTCACGACCTGTTGCAAAAAAAGGCAAAAGCAGACACTCACGAGATATATTGTCGAGATTTCTTCATACATTCTCACGTTGAGCTCATCGAAAGTTTCTTGTCAGACGTTTCGCGCGAGTTTATCGTCAATCAACAAGAAGCACACGAACGGCTTTGCGCCGCGCGGATAAGATAAGATGTAAGATATTGCTTTATTTTGTTGAACGAAAAAAGATATCTCAAGCGCGACATGCAAAAAAAAACCTAAAAATAAAGAAGATTAGTGAGTTATAAAATAAAACAAAAAACAAACTATATGCTGCTTGAAGAGATTTAAAGAAATTTATAAATTACGAAAACTAAGTCGTTACAACGTAGAAATTTGTGTCTACAGTATTGCTCTTCAAACCCAGTGACGTATAGAAAAAATAGAGGACGGGATTTCATGCGGGGACCTCCTTTGAATAAGAGCAAGGGTTTCGTTGAAAAAAAAAAAAAAAAGCACCAGTAGAAGAGTCACGCACAGTTCGAATTCTGCCTATGGAAATAGAAATTCCGTCAAAATGCGGAGTTAGAAAAATTCATCTCACACAAAGTTTGAAGATTAATCGTTGGTTCACATCACATTATCAAAGATGTCTCGAGAAGTCAGAAAACACGGCGATTGTAACGGTGACTTTTCTTGCGTCAGCATGTTGACATCCATCCGGATCTCTGATGAGTTCGCAGTTTGAGTTGGGTATTCTCTTCTATAAGCGTTTTTTGTAAGAGGATCCTGTTTCTTAGATTCTAAGAAGAGTCCGTCATGTCTCGCAACAACACGCGCTCAACAAGCGTCTTGCACAATGCGCAAATGATAGAAAAATCAATCTATAAAAGTTTCAATTTAGAAAAACGCAGACCAATCGAACGAGAGATATTTCATCTTCTTGACGGCGACAAGACCCCGAAGAAAGATAATTGTCTCCGATTCCGATCCCCGTTTCGAATGATCAGTGAACGTTGTACCTATCCAATCGCTTCTGCTCCAACGAGACAAATATATTTGCGTTCATCCGAGGAGAAGAATTCTGATTTTATTAAATCAACATACGTCACCTCTTTCAGATTGAACTCCTGATTATCTCGACGCTTTTCAACGCTAAATTGAATTCCAAGATGAAACCGTCACGTTTTCTATCTCGCGCGGTTTATGTATCTCTTTCACAAATTATTAGATTAGGTTTTATTGGTTTTAGTAGCTGTGGTGAGTTTTTCAAATTATTAATCGCACAAAAAATTTTATATTGCATACGCTAAATAATATAATTGTAGATAAACAGTACGCGCTAAGTAATATAATTGTAGAGATATATTAGCGACTACCGGTAAAGACGCAACAACGGTTGCTTAGCTGCTTCTATCGAATCTCGTAGATCGGGTCACAGATGGCGGCAACGGTAACGAAACGGCGCGCTTACCGATTGGAATTGTCAATCTCGCCGACGGCGCCATGCGGCGCTAGACGTGTCGTGTCAGTAAAAATGGAGCCGCTCGAGTGAAGGTGGGTGAGTCTGTGCGCGCGTGAATCCGGGCTAGTGCCGTTTTTCGGAGATGTGGCAAGATTTGGGCGGTCTGGGCAACGTAGGAGTGAATTCCGCCGGTCATCAGGTTGACCAGTTCGGAACAACAGTGTCGGGTAAGTGAATTATCCCTCGACGAAAATCCAGAGTCCAGGGACCGCGTAAGCTTGGAGCCTGACGAAGCCGAGGCATCATCTTTTTCTCCAGTCAGTGCGCATGCGCTCGTAATTCTCTCTTCGTGTACCAGCCGTGTTATCGTAGTATCGTATGTACGTGTAGTAAACAAAACGATATGATGCCTGGACCTTCTCTCGATCGAAAATCCTCCGATGCGACGGGGAAAAAAACTCGAATGCGACGACGTCGTTGCGACGGAAAGGCGCGACCGAGTTTTCGCGGTCTCGCGTCTTCTCGTTCTTCGAGGGTTGAGGTAGCGCGAATATATTCGCGAGAGAAAATTATAATTCTCTCACAGTCGGAGGAGAAAAATAAAAATATATAATTTATGTATGTATCCTTAGAGAAACGTCGAAGTACAGTCTGGTACGTGAGATTGTCCGGATTGTTCTCTGACAATTGTTTCCGCCGTAGTTACCGGCCTCTTGACCGGAGATCTGTCAATAATCAACGCGGAACGCGTTAGTCTCTGCGCGGAAACGGGATCCGTTATTACAGCTGTCGCGCGTCCTGAGTTTTAATTTGTTTGTTCACCGTTTCGGGCACTCAGTCGATCTGGCTCCTAGCTCGATCTCGGAATTAATTAAAACTATTTACCTATACCGTTTGTTCCAAGTGACGGGAAGTAATTCGTGTAATTTGAAGTCGTATACGAAGAGATGCACGACCCGAGGATGATATAACGTATGACATCACAATGTGTATGCGAGCGCAATGTGCTTTTCACATTTCGCAATTACTTTTTCGAAAGTGCTTGAGAGCCGTAAAATCGTTCTCTCATTTCTTTTTCGAGAATCTTTGAGAGATTAAATAATACAAATAAATAACTGAATTATTGGATATCCGTGGCTCTGATTAACATTTGCTTCTACATGTGTATTGACCTGTTGACGCAATCTATATTTATATAATGCAAATGTGTGCGTGTGTACTGCGTACGGAGGAATATGTGTAAAAGTTCTATTTTTAGAGCTTTAGGTTAATTGCCGCTAACGAGGCTCCCCGTTTGCCTCTGCACAATGGGGACACGTTCTTTGATGTATAATTAAATATCCTTTTCTTTTTTAATAATTATTTAGGATTGCGTGTTTGAAAAAAAAAAAAAAAAAGAATTCGCGCGTGTATATTAGAGTCACGCGCATGTGTTTCAAAATCTCCATTTTTCTAATTGAATTTTTTATGTGATTGTAGAATTGACTCCCGAGCAACAAAAGATTCTCATAGACATAAGGCGGAAGAAAACAGAGTTGCTGCTCGAGATACAAGTGAGTATATCAGTTATTGTTTTATCCGGATCGAGAAAATTTGATATATATGGGAGAGGCAGGAAAGAGATAAGTCTATTGCGTGTGTTTTTTTAATGTGATAAAAAACTGTAACCGGGAAATAGTAATGATAACTTTATTACGTAAGCAATTACATTACGTGGCGTGAAAAACAAAAGCGAGACTCAATAGACAGACGAGGCTGCAAAAGCTGTTTAGAAATCTTATCAAAACCTGATACTAAAACGAAAACAAACTGTAAGAAACGTTAAGTAAAGAGCAAAAGGATAATGATTAGTTCATTATGTTTATAAAGAGCGATAGGGAGATAAATACAAAAGCACACTAAATGCAAATATAAAAAAAATAAGAGTATAAAATGAAGATGAGCAGCAATATAAGAAGCAAAAAGAAAAGAGGAGAACTTTCAGCTCGTATGACAGATGGTAACAAATTGTAGTACATCGCTGCAGTGTAGACAGAGAGAGAGAGAGAGAGAGAGAGAGAGAGAGAGGAAGAGATAGAAAAAAGCACTGCGGAATTTTTTGTGTACGACGACGCGAAAAGAAAAGACTGAGATTGATGACGAGAGCGAATGGAAGAGTTAGGATGAAAATCAACATTTAAACGGAACAACTCGTAAGTTAAGATAAGAAGGAATATAACAAATTCTATGAACAAGACATCATAAATGAAAATATTTCTGATAAGTCAGATCAATAATATCAGCTTTTTAAAAATAAAAGATAGAATTAAGAAATTATTATTACACATAACATACATATTGACATTAAGATTACGCTTAATCACTCATATATGCGATAGGATTGAAATAGGCCTGTTTTACCGATGTGTGACTATTTCACTTAGACGGATCGGCACGCGATGGCACTGCTTCAAAGTTCAAATGGGTATTTATTTAAACTGTTTGGTTAAACATAAAAACTTAAAACACTTTCTCGGTAAATTGATACATAAATAAAAAAAAAAATCGTTAATAACTCTTTGTAATAACTTTTTAAAAATTAAAAATATCCGCAGCTATATATCTGACTGCGATAATTACTCGAGATAAACTCGTCGATTATATTTTGATTTAGCTTATCGGGATGTTTCATCGCTTAAAATGCAAAAACCATTAGATATATCATCAATCATGATTTCCCTTCTCCAACAACAAAAATAATTTAGATGTTTATGAGACATTCTGTACATTTATGTGATGATTAATGCAACAGTAAAACATATAATATATCGGTTTTCTGACGAGAAACACGCGCGCGTCTACATGCACAAGCAGAAAAATTTCAGGATGTTCTTACGATAAGACGGTTTCCGGAATGTATGATATAGTCTCGCTTACTCATCTGTTTGCGACGCTCGTATATCTGTTTAACGAAATATCAGGGTAAAGCGTTATATCTCGTAGATTAAATATTGTCGTGTTTGCGAGAAGAGATCTCTCATCTCTATCTCAATCTCTGTATTTCGATTCTGTGTTATTTAAATAACGCGCTCTCTCGATTCTCCTTCTTATATCTCTACGGAAATTTACGACACGATATCGCACAACACACCACAATCGCGTGGAAAGTGTCTGTTGTGCACGGACCGTTCTTACTTCTGTAATAATATACATCGCGTAAACACACACACACACACATATACACACCGTAGAAAGGAAAAGAATATCGATATTAAATATCGTCGCGTCACTTGCGAGTTATTAAATTTCTCAATGTTGAGAAAAATATGCTACGGAAGTTTCTCTCTTTCCGCATCAGTAGGAAAAAGTCCGGTACACGCTGGACGTGTTCGTCGAGTTGTCTGATACTCGGTACACGAAGCAGACGCCGTGAACAGGTGATATATATGTATATATACACACGTACCGTATAAATTAATTAACGTCTGACATGATTATTTTTTTCTATCAAAAAATTGACACGTGCGTCAATTTTTCGTGTTTTATCGAAACTTCGACCGACTTCTCCGAGACAAAGAAAAAAAAAAACACAGTTACGACGATGTGAAAACGATGTGTTGCGTAAGCACGAGATTAATTGTGCTCAATGTGCGTTTGATCGAAGTGTAACAACAATCGATGAAGCGATACGATAGGATACGGATGACCTCGGGACTTTAAATAATCATCTCGGTGGTGTGATCTCTCGCTCGCTGTAACAACGAGAATCACGCAGTTTTCCCGGAAAGGAAGGAACTATAACTACACACACACACACACGGCTGCTGACACATCTGCCGCCGCTCCGCAGTCAGGCATCAATGAGCCAACGTCATACACTCTTTATCCATGTTAATTGAACGAACGCTGCGACTATATTTAGGTCCAACGTGGACGAGATCCGCGCGATTAATCACGAAAAGTGTCGGAGAGTCCTGCGCTTTAAATTTCCGCTGTGACACACACACACGCACACGTGTGTGGATGCCGGTTGATTATCGTAAAAGTGGGCCACATGTCATCGTTTTGTTTTTGCGATATTTCAATTTTCTCTTTCGGACGCCGTTACACGGCGCGATGAATGACAAATGGGTCGGGTGTGGGTTTCGAGATTTTTACTTAGGTCGCTTTTGCTGCAGGTCGCTTTTACTACTCCAACACACGTTATTTACTGCGTAAAACTAAAAATAGCTAGACGGCATTAACTGTGACGGTATAATTGACGGATATAATTGACGCGGTGTATTTCGCAATTGTATATTGGAGAAGAGCCGCGCCGTTCCGTGGCAATTAGCCGCTCATTGAGAAATTATGACTGACATTATTATTACCCGCATAATTGATTAATAAGTAAATCGATTTGTGGGATTGTTAAAATAGAATGTGTACATTAAAGGACTCTGTCGGTGTGTCATTCATTATAATCCGCATATCGAGTCACTTAACGGATGGAGGAAGCGACGTTAAAACTCGTGACACAAATCGATTATCGATTTTAAACGCAGAGTTTCGAGAGCTGCTTCGTACGCTCGTGCTCGATCGCACGATAAAACGCGTATGCACGCGAAGCGTTCAAGGAGGAGAGTAACCGTGAACGCGCGGTCGATCCTGTCGGTTGACCTTGCCAAGTACGCGTGTCAGGTGCGGATGTCGATGTTCGTTCGTCGTTCGCGAAAAAAAAATAGAAAAAACAAGAAAGAGAAATGCGTTTTTTTTCCGATGGAATTTTTTGCAACACAGTTTCACCAAAAATTCGTCATGGAAAACTGGTTACAGTGGAACCGAGTGAGTTTTTTGCGATCGAATCTTATCAGATCTCGTGTAATCGCGATATCTCCTCGCGCGCACAGACGCGCCTTCAACGGAAACGTGTGCGTTTCACGGTGATTACAAATATTTGTACACGCGAGAGTGTGTGTGCACCTGGCCGCCGCTGCGAGGCGCTGCTGTTGACGAAGCCTCTCTCTTTCTCTCTCTCTCCCGCTCGCCAGAGAACCCGACACGAAGCCGCAGTTGCGGGGAATCGCGTGACGGCGGCTGACACGGCAACTGGCCCGGCGAGACTGTCTCTCGGTCAATCGTCGCACGAACCCTGCGGTTCGTCGCCTTTCATTCGGCGCGACTTCGGTCCGCGAAACCGTGAGAAGTCATCCACTTGTTGCCTTTTTTTTTTTTGCATGACTGTGATCCCGAGGACACTTAGCGTCGAGGACGTTGACTGTCTCACACGTGGCCCTTCCCTCCGTGGTGTGCGGATAACGGACGAAAACCGAGAGAAGAAAGAAGGTGGGCTCCCTTTCCCTCCCCGAATTGTAATTGGAGTAAGTGTGGTGCTGTGCAAAGGTGTGCGCGCGTGTAGTAGCGTCGTCGACATAGCCGCGGGTCGTTGCACTTCCGACCGCACTACTACGCGCTCTTCGACCTTTGTACCTCGTGCGTTTTCTCAGGGAGTGTATGTTTACCCCGCGCGATGTTGTTCGATCCTAAGTGCAATCGTGACGGACACAGGAGTGACCGTGGCGCGTTTCGTTCGGTATCGCAGACGAAAAGTGTGTGAAGTGAAAGAAGAGAGAGAGAGAGAAAGAAAGAAGAGAGAAAGAAGCTCGAAAATCGGAGGTGGAGTTTTTAAAAAGTGTTTGTCAACAATAAACACACCGCGAGAGAATGATTTTCACCGGCAGATCGGTGGACGCTCTCGACGAAGTGCGAGGCACCACCGGCGGTGGTGCGATGGTATCTCAGCAGGACGGCGGCGGACGTAGAGACGTGAGCGCCGTCGCTATCGCGGCCGGGTGGTTTTCCAGTTTACGGAGACCCGGCAAGAAGAACAAGAAGAACTACCAAAAGCAGGCTAAGAGCGCTTGGGATCTCAGCGCCTTGTCCGCCACGGTCAGTTCGATACAAAAAAAGAAAAAAAAAAAAAAATAATAATAATAATAGTCCGTAAACTCGTCTCTTAATGATTCGACAGGGTCGTTTTACCATAGCGTAAAACAACGAGATAGAAAACGAAAACAATTTACACACGCAACGCGGAGGTGTCTCTTGCTTGGAATCGATTAACGAAGGTATTAGGAATCGGAAGTAGCGTCGCGAAAATTTAAATCGCCGTTACGTACCCACATGGTAAACGCAATTTGTAAAAGAGTTTCGCGCGCGCTCCCCCCCCAAGGCCAAACTCGTGCCAAACTTCGCCGGGAAACTTATTTCTAGATATTGTTACAGAGAGAGGCGTGAGTTGTGTCATCGACGTTCCGAGATAGCGTGAAATATAACGTTTTGTCGGCACGTTAGCGCGTAATATCGTAAAAAAAAAATATACCAGGTAACTTGTTGTTGATACAAATGAGCCGCGAAGGCAGGAAACGACGAAGGGGAAAAGAATCGACAAAATTGGTCGCGTAATTTTATATATAAGCGGGAATGACGTCGTTCATCGCCACGCAAAGTCGAATTGTTCGCTGATCGGTTAGGAATGCGTATAAAAAATGTTTTACGAGTCGAAGGGAATAAATCACTCGTTACAATCTTTCTGTTGCTCCGATATGTGAAAACCTCCAAGTTTTCTCAAGAATGATATTCTGCAAGACTTCAAAACACTTTGAGTCAAAGATAAATGATGCGTTTTACGTATGCGAAACAGTCTTTGTAATAACACACCGCTGTGTGCGCAATAAGAGGTCTTTTTTTTTTTATTTTTTTTTAGAGCTTCGCGGCAATGAAATCACAGCGACGTTTTAATTCAGTCGCAACACACACATACACACACACAGACAAAGCGTGTCTTCGGGACATAAACGAGTTGTCTCAGGGTCAGCAATCGAATGTAAAATAGATGTTGATCGTTTCTGGCGGTGAATATAAAATTACACATACGACGCGCTGTGTGCTGCGTCGCCGCCACGCATCCGTAGCGCGAAAAGATCCATCCTTGGCAGCGGGCGTATCGTCCCGACGGGATGTATCGGATATATTTAAAAAAAAAAGAAAAGAAAAAAAAACAAATCTACTAAGACGAAAAAAAACAAAGCGGTGTCGTTCCACGATGTCGCGCGACATCACGAATTGAAAACTGTGCGACCGTCTCGGGGGGATGCTTATTTTTAGAAGAAACCAGGACGCGTGCGTCTATCCGTTCGCGCGCGTCTATCGCGTCTATCATGCGCGCGACACGGATGTGTGTCCGCCGTGTATCTTTTGATCACGATAATAGGCATCATCGTCACGAAGGTTCAACGTACCGAAACGTAACAGACGAGCGATTTGTTTTTTTTTTTTTTTTTTTTTTTTTTCGCACTAAAGATGTGGAACTCCGTGATATCTTCTTATTCCACCGACAAGAATCGTCTGTCTTTTTGCACCTTCAAGTGTTCGATTTTCGAATAATAGGTATTCTTCTTTTTTTTTTAGAGCGCTATCTTATCGCACCGTTCGGAGAAGAAAAAAAAAAGATTGCGCGTTTTTCTCAAGCGAGTATATATACACGTATTTTCTCGGTTTTCCCGCCTTTACGAGAGAAGCCAAATAGTTGAAGGACTCATATAACAGAAAAAAGAAGGGAAAAGATCGATCTCGGTCAAACAGTATCGTCTTTCAGAAATATTTTCAACGCTTCTCACAACATCGGTAAGGAAAAGAGAGTCCGCTGTCTGGGTTCGTTTTGCTCCGAACAATTTGGGAAACCCCTGTAAAAATTCCCAGGAGATTACGAAGGAATGTTTCTCCGATATTGTTGTGCTGTGAAAAAAAAAAATACGTCTTCTCGGAACTCTCTCATCTCCATCTCGCACAAACATTTATTCTAAATGCGATTTAAATTGGTCTTGATATGTCTTTTGAAGAAAAATACAAAAAGTTACACGTTCATCGGGTGTGTGGGAATTCGGTTATGTAACGTGTGTAAAAAAAAAAAAAAAAAAAAGTAACACGTATATACCGCGCGCCACATTCCAGCGTCTTTCTTTTCCTCGCCGCGTTCGCGCCATTTGCTTCGATCAAAGAGATTCGAGCCGGGTCAAGCGGCGGCAGATCGAATCCAAATTCGATGACACGAATACGCGCGCGCATGTACACGCGCGAGAGGATGTGTATATACGGAACGCGCGCACACACATACGCATCGGATGCAAGTGCCGCGCGTATGTGACACATATATGTACGTACCCTGAAAAGATGCATGGTGGTTTTAAATAGCTTACTTTGCGGGCATTTACATGCCGAGGGAGATAAATATAATTCCCCGTACGATGAAACGACGGTGCGAGAGTTCATAGAGACCGATTAGCTCGGTCTATATATTCTCGCGCGCGCGCGCGCGTATTTTCCGAGACCGAAGAAAAAAGCCAGCGAGGAGAGAAACACGTCGTGTTAATTAAACCGATGATTATGCAAATCGCAAACGAGAGCGCGCAAAATCTCCGCGCTTGTGTTGCCTCTCCTCTTTCTCTTTCGAGAGAGGGTATCGTCTTTCTAACAAAACGCGCGAGAGCAGCGCATATTCTCGATAACTACCCGCCCGACGAAACGACGAAGGAGGATCAAGCAGACGTATTTAGCGTCACACAACTGCACAAATGGGACACGCGAAGTTTATCTGTCGCGTCGTGTATACGATATGTATATATATATAGGTATACACTACCTTATCGAAACAGACGAAACAGTCGTTAAACGAGAGAAGCCGGTGAAGTTTTTCACGAGAGATGTGTGTGACGAGTCAGTGTCGCGAGTAAGTAAGTAAATCGCTATCTGTGCACGCAGCACAGTCTGATATCGCGCACAAATATCCGTCACGTAAGAGCGAATCAACATGCGCATCGTTGAACAAATGACTAATCGACAATTTGCGTGCCTGTTGACTTCCTATTGATTCACACACCCTCGTCATCGAGATAAAGAGAGAGAGAGAGACACACAAAAGCGTAAAGTAAATTGATTGCACGCAATCGTTTACACGCCGCTTTTTAATCCTTTCGATATTCGCGAGCGCGCGTTTTATTCTTCAGCCATCTCAGCGTAATTTTTTCTCGCGTTCTTTTACATATATTTATAATAATAATTTACATCTAGCTAGAGAGAACATACTAGTGATGAGGATTCCGATGCGAGAGACGTGTGTGAAAGCCCGCAAGTGTCGCCCGTTACACTTAAATAATGGAAAAACTCTCGTTCTCGTCGAAGCACTTGTACGCGTTCGCGGCCGTTTTTCTTCCGCGAATTCGTAACTCCTGGGCAGCGGCCAGACGCGCGCGGTTTTCTTCTTCTTCTTCTTCTTATTCTTCGACTTGAGAGAGAATTCGCGCGGCGGCATTTAGAGCGCCTGGCCGCTATCCAATTACAACTTTGCGCCCGAGTTTCTCCGCTCACCTAAACGTCGATCGCGACGATCTTGTAGCGTTAAAGAAAAAAAAAAAAAGGTTTCTTTGATCCCACGTGAGTCACCTTCCCGCGTGATTGATCTGACTTTATTGGCCCGCGCGATTTGAAAGCAAAAATAACAGGACGGGAAAGAGTTATCGCGAGTATATCGTGTTTTTGTTCGAACCGCGGTCGACTAATTATGTCTGAGAGAATGGATTATCGTGTGACCTCTCACCTCTGATCGCGTGTGACTTTGCAAAACACGTTGTGTGAATTAGTTATTTTTCTTCTTTGTTTTTTCTTTTTTTTTTTTTTTATCTCGAAACTTCTCACAAATATTGCGAATATGTTTTTTTTTTTCCACGCGAAATGTAATCGTTTTCGTTCATTATCAAAAATATATACACTTCTTGTACTCTCTCGTCGAGTAACAGACATTTCATGTATTTCCATCCGGACTATAAAAATATGCGCGTTTTAAGCAAGGAAAAGAGAAGTTTTTTTTTTATTATTATTATTACGAGAGCAAAGAAAAAAAGTTGCATGTGTGCTTTTCGGAATGAGATATTCAAGAGCCCGCGGACACGTTAGACAATCTTGTGATGACGTCTTCGGACATATTATTTCTTATCGACAAATCAACGTATCATTAAGATCTGTGTGTCATTTATTTGCGCCACGTCATATTATTAACGTTCAAGAAAAAACCCTAATGTCTATTATGTCATTATTTATCAGTTTTTACTTGACACACAATTGTTTGTCAGGTATCACTTCTGCTCTTGATAATTAAATTTACATTATCTTCTAATTTATATTATCTTCTGTTCTATTAACTTCGTTAATTTCGTCAAAAGCTCGTTCCATTCGCATTTGCTTGCACCCTCGCGCGCTTTCGTCAATTCTCTATAAACGAGCAATCATTTTCATACCTTCTCCAAATTTATTAAATCCCGACATTGTCTATACATACATATCGCACGCTGGACGTGAAATGCAATTGCGCCGCTTATTGTGTATATATTACGCGTCTCTCGATTATTACGGGAATTGGGACGCCGGTGGGGACGCACACAGAGAACGAGATAACAATAAATGTAAAACACATGTCCGCGAAACGTAATTAGTTTTCGAGACAACGCGCTCGCGCGATCTAATGAGGCGCTAAATCACCACGCAGGCATGCAGTTTGTTCGTGTTCGACTTTTGTCGTGACGCAGACTGGTTGCAAAACTAGCACACGCACGTCTGGCTTGGTACCAGCCGGATAAAGCGGCGTGTATATAAAGTCTAATCGAACGCGAACTTTCGCTCTTCGTGTTCAACCGATTTTATCTTATATGTCTCTCTTCGTTACGTGTTTTTGTTTTTTTCGCGGCGCGACATTGAAATTAAAGAAACGAAATTACTTGACGAAACGGCAAACAGAAGATTTGCCACAGCGAAAATCACATCTTTGTGACGCTAGAGTATAAAAAAGTATCGAACATCGATTTCTACGAGAGGGGAGGACACGCGTTTTTTTGCTGACGATAACGACCGTCCGTGAATCAGATACCGATCGATACATTTCGAATGCACTTTGGCACGGAAGGCAGGAAGATTGCGCCAGATCATAAAGATTTTTGTCGATTGCTATTCGCATCGGCTATCGGCCGGCATTCGAAACATGCGATTCAGTCGAATTGTTTAGAACAAACAATTATTTTCTCGGCAAGAAAATTGATGAAAAAAATAGACAATATACTTCCTTCTTGATTCCTCTTAATTCGGAATCGGTCTTTTTTCTCCCAGCATCTCTCGAAACTCTTTTTTTCGATAATCAATAAAACAACTAGCAATCGGAGAAGCTCGCGAGAAGATAAAACGAGTGTCAGGTCAGATGCGAGCCGTTAAACCTAAATTTATACAAAATTGTTTTTTTTTTCTTTTTTTTTGTTAAACTAACAAACAGAACTTAGGCACCCGAAAGGAGAATCCAGAATTTTTTTCAACATTTTTCTCGTATTTTGAAATCAAATAAATAGCCTCAGTTTCGAGATTAAGATACCGAAGGTAAAAAACAATTCAGGATTAAGATTAAATAGCGTTTTCGAGCAGTTAAATCGACGACAAGAGAGATTTGTGACGAAAATACATAAGAAAAGACCATTGGGAGTCAATGAAACGGTTCTCGTTTCTGAAAATAGACGGAATGCGCGCGCGCTATGTTAATCACACAAGTGTGCGATGTTTCACGTGACGGATGAACGTCAAGTTCGGGAACGCAAAGTTATCTATAAATTCTTGGGAGCGAATCACATCTGCTCTGTGTGTGTGTGTGTGTGTGTGTATTATGAATGCACGCCCTTTGCCCCGTCGTCATTTTGCAGGAAGGAAGTTTAGTTTGCGTTAGGTAGCGCAATAGTGAACAACTTTCGATCGATCGTATAGCGAAACGCGCATGTGACAGAAATAGAACGGAATAAGGCAATCATTCCGCACAGGACAGACGAAAGGGAAGCCGTGGACATATAATGGCATCACCGCCGTCCGTGTACGAAAAGAATATTTCGTGAGTGATGCAAAAAAAAAAAAAAAAGAAAAAAAATGGGTATCGACGAATAAAACCGATTCGATGACGAGTTAACGAGCGAGTTTATTGTCGAAAATAAAAATAAAAAAAATTACAACTCGCAACGGGCTCTCATTTTTGCGTTATCACGTTCAGCGCTTTAATCTTCGGCGCGCCCGATAAACGCATAGATTTTTTTTATACTTAAGCGACGGACTTGCCGCTGCTCTCTTGTGCCATCGTCGGTACCTACCGCGCGCACGGTGACTCAATTGGAAGCTTCTCTGAACAGGAACTCATATAAATTTCCCGCTCCTATCTCTTGATGATGACAAAGCGATAATTAGCAATTCTAAGTTAGCTATATGTATATTCGTTCACATATATACGTAATGAGGTACTTACGTGCATACACACACGTGTGTATCCACTTCAAGGTCGTCGCGAGCATTGTAAGTATGCGTTCTTCAAACGAGGTGAAAATGTCGGAATAATAGCGAGGAGAATGGGGGGGAGGGGTTCTCAAGGGAGTTTGGCTTTCGCGAAATAGCGGCACGTGAAAGAAAGTTTCTTTCTCTCAGTATTCAACTTTAGTTTTATAATGTTCTTAAGTTCGCATACGCACACGCACGCACACACACATAGGGGCGTACCGGTTTTTCACGCGTCGCTCGTCTGCGGCCTTCTCCTTTCGTGGGACCGGATGCGCGCACCGATAAATACAAAAGAAATTTTACCACCTAACAGACAATGCTAACTCACCGCCGAGCAAGCAACTAAGTTATTGTCCTTGTTGTTATCGCGGCGACCCATTAACGAGCCTCATCGGTTAGCAACGTACGGCCGCTTCCGGTCGACCCCTTCCTCTTTCCGGAAATGTGCGCGCGCGCGCGCGCGCGAGAACTGCGAGAATTTTGCATTTTATTTCGTCGTATCGAAAATTTTATTTCGATCGATTGGTTTCGCTACAACGACGACGGTGTTTTGTATTCATTTTTCTAGGTCGTGTAGCGATTGTTGCGGCATTAAAAGCGATGCGGAGCGCATCGCGTGTTGTTTGCGTGCGTTTATCGATTTTTTTTCCCGTTGTGACGTCGGCAAACAGTGGTATTTGTATCTTGAAATTCGTGAAACTCGGATACGTACACTCGAAAACGTGTGGCCGGAAGAGATGAGGAAAAAAAAAAGTTGTGATGCTCATTATAGACATTGGGAGATAGAAATCAGTAATTAAACTTAATGTAAATTTAATGGCGATGTTAAAAATGTTGCGTGTTGAGTTTAATCCTTTTAGCGTGTGTCTAGACTCGACGATTCTGCAGAAACATCGTTACGGAATCAAAAGAGATTTCCTGCTTACTGGCATTCGCGGAATGCGTACGTTGAGAAATGTGCGCGGTGGGAAACGGGCAGACGGTGTCACGAGCAAGTATCACGAAGCAGGAAGCTGCCGCTGCTAGACCGTGTACACGATTCTAAATCTCATCATTCACTTGAATCACACGCGTTAGAGTTTTACGCGGATATATCTCGCAAAGAAGAAATAATTTTTCACATCGTATCGTCGAACGAAATCTAATGCTTACACAAACGTGCATATCGTCAAGATCTCTCTTACGTAGATTAACTCGCTTATTAGATTTCTATTTAGATATTGCAATAGAGTACATTAGGAAAAACCCGATCTTCGAATGGTGGTTGTGTGTAATTCGTCGTCAAATTCTGTTTACAGCAACTGAAAGATGAGTTGGGCGAAGTTGTGGCGGAGATGGAGTCGATGGAGGGCGGCGGGCTTACGGCCGACGAGACAAAACCGTCCAACAAGGCAAAGCAAACATCAATCGGTCGCAAAAAATTCAATATGGATCCCAAAAAGGGTATCGAGTACCTGATAGAGCACAACCTTCTGGCGCCAACACCAGAGGACGTCGCTCAGTTTCTGTACAAGGGCGAGGGCCTGAACAAAACCGCGATTGGCGATTATCTCGGCGAACGACACGACTTCAACGAGCGCGTGCTGCGGGCCTTCGTCGAGCTGCACGACTTCACCGATCTCATATTAGTGCAGGCACTACGTCAGTTCCTGTGGTCGTTCCGACTGCCCGGCGAAGCGCAAAAGATCGATCGTATGATGGAGTGTTTTGCTCAAAGGTACTGCCAGTTGAACCCGAACATCTTCACTAATACGGACACCTGCTACGTGCTGAGCTTCGCCATCATCATGCTGAATACCTCATTGCATAATCCGAGCGTTAAGGATAAACCCAGTGTGGATCAGTTTATTTCAATGAATCGAGGCATTAATAATGGCGGTGATTTGCCGCGCGAGTTGCTTGTGGTGAGTGTGTTCGTGAATATGTGTGCACATGTGTACAAGATATCATTTGTGTCATTTATATAACAAAAATGTGTTTGCAATAAAATGTATTTAATTATATCCCCGCATTTATTTACAGAGCCATTGCGATAAAAAATATTTTATTACATCTGCACATTTGTTTTTTTTTTTTTATTTACAGAGTTTGTACGAGAGTATAAAAACCGAACCTTTCAAGATACCAGAGGACGATGGTAACGACTTAATGCACACCTTCTTCAATCCCGATAAAGAAGGTTGGCTGTGGAAGCAAGGTAATTTACCTGTTTACATATTTCTACAAATTCGCACTGCAACTTGACTGCATCCCGATAATTTTAATTTTTTTTTTCTTTTTCTTTTTTTGTTTACACAATATAATTTGACAAATATACAACGATAAAATAATTTTATATTTTTTATTCATTGTGTGTATGTGTGCGTTGACTTATCTTGATTGAATAACGTATTTTTATCTTTTGTTACACTCTCATCGCTGAACGGAATGCTTATTCTTATATTGTATCACTTTGTCCCTCTGCTGCCCTTTGACGGAGACAGCAGGTAAATAATATCTTTGTGTTAATCTTGAATTCTCAATTCTATATATGTTTTCGCGATTTTGTTACAGGTGGACGTTACAAGAGTTGGAAGAGACGGTGGTTCATTTTGAACGACAATTGCTTGTACTACTTCGAGTACACGACGGACAAGGAGCCGCGTGGTATCATTCCATTAGAAAATATTCAGGTTCGCGAGATTCAGGATCGACACAAACCGCACTGTTTCGAATTGTACGCCGCCGGTTCTGAGTTCATAAAAGCATGCAAGACTGATAGCGAGGGAAAAGTCGTCGAAGGTACGATTCTGTTTTATAGGAGGGGTTTAATATTTATAACAATTGAAACAGAAAATCAATTCAATAGTTTTATGTAAATATAAAATTATTTGCACATTTTATTCAGATATATTTGATATATTTAATATATTTTACCATTTTTATATTATTTTATACTTCAATACATATCTTATATTAAATGTTCGCTACGCTTGTTTGTGTAGGAAAACATACCGTGTACAGAATGTCCGCCGCTACAGATGAAGAAAAAGACGAGTGGATTAAATGCGTGCGGTAAGCTAGAATGATTAAAGGATACCGCCACTCTACATCGCTTGTATCTTTTACCGTCACTTTTCTCTGCAATAAAACGCGAATCTATGTGCAATTACGATAATATATAAATTCTCGAACGTCATCGTTTATTTACAGGCAAAGTATATCGCATAATCCGTTTTACGACATGCTGGCAGCGCGGAAGAAGAAAGCACAAAAAACGAATGTACATTCGAAGAGTTAAACGCTGCCACGAGCCGGGTTTTGAATTGAGCTCGGCGAGGACTCAGAGAAGACTGTTCATTCGCGAACCGGCATTACTGCACCGTGTGATTCCGGTCGAGTACGTTTAAATTTCGCAAAAAAGTTCACCGTAGAAAGAAAGGGAAGAAACAAAACAGAACACGCCGAAAGCGATTGTCGAACATTGTTTTGGTAGAAGTAGAAAACCGGACGTGGTGTCGCGTAACGACACGAAAAAAAATATCATTACAGCAAGCGATATATCTGCGTGTATAAATAACGTAGAACACGTAAAACAATATCACGTTAAAACGCACGATATTGTTTGTAGACTGAATGCGGAATCTAGAATCGGCGCGATACTTCTCGCGAATGCTAGATATAGATGAAAAATAGTTAAATAAAAAATATTATATTAGCGAGAACAAAGATATATTATAAATGTATCATAAATTGCGCTGAATCAGCATTATATCAGCATGTGAAGAATCTTGCGCCGTAGGAGCCTAGTTATATTTCAGTAATAGACGCAAAATCTGCTCCTCTATAATGTTATTCTTTTTCGTAAGAGAGAAAACGAGAATAGAGCGTGCGGCATTACGTACGTCTGAAATCAAAAAGTCTACAGCGACGAACAACTATACCATTGGTCAATTGACACCAAAACGATATGAGCATATATATATATATATATATATATATGTATATGTATATGTATATGTATATTGCTTTACCTAAACATCTTCTATAAACATTTTATAATTTTACTAAAGAAAATCAATGTAAATAGATACGGTTGCGTAAGATAGACATATAATATTTATCCAATTATTATTAATAATTTGTGAGCACAACAGGCTATACAGAAAAAACGAAATTTTTTCATTCTCCGGCAGCTTTGAGATATCTATCATTATAAAGCTCTTCCCATTAAAGAAAACTGAAGGTTAATAAACACGAGATATTTATACAAGGTGCGAGGGTGTCGTGTAAATAGATAATAATTATAAAATTCGCGATTTTTTCTAGTTATACTTATATTGAGGAAAAATGTAAAGCCGAATAAAAGCTCTCGTATTCATGTGATACAATTTACGCGTATTTATTTGAACAAATGTGTACAAAGAATTTATAAAACCGAGAAATAATAAGTTTCTCCGCATGAGAACGAGATTATCTTTTCATGCTTGTGTACAATCTGTGTACGAAAATAGCATGATTAGCCAACCCTGTGAACTCTGTTTTTCTATAATTTAAATTAAAAAAAAAAAAAAAACTGCGTATATATATACATATATCATCTATTTGACAAACACATACACACAAATTATGTGCGTACGTGCGCTTGTATACATATATACGCGTACATAATCCGAAATATAATAATCAGTATATATAGTAAGTTTAAACAATGTCTTGAGATCTGACAGGGAACCTGCGACTCCATTGTTTTTTTTAAAAATAACAAAAAAAAAACGGCGAAAATCTCATGCTAAAGAAAAAAATTGATGATTTTATATATGAAGAATGTAGCAGGATGCGTGTCGTGATCAATGTAACAACCGCTTTGCTAACATATTCGGAAATTTAATGAGAGTTTAAAGTTCTAAATTTTTTTAACACACACTTTGCGTACTTTAAAATACGTTATTGAAACATTGTACGATGATTGTGGAATATTCTATATACAGCGTATGTGTGACGCGTACAAAACCGGGAAAGGGATGATGCTTCGTGCAAAACCAAGTCGAAAATGTAGAATAAAAGTCTTTTGCGAGGTTCAATTCTCAAGAAAGTGAATTTTAAAAACTAAAAGTGATATATCTACTTTTTGTATTTAATTGTGATCTGTAATAATCTTGTATATACATCGTTAAATGTATTTCGATAGCAGTTATTAGTCAACTTTAAAGAAAATTACACTCTTCGCCGTTCAATCAAGCAAATTAATATTATAAAATATAATATTATAAAATTAGTAGTAAACTTATGTGCGTATTAAATTATAAAGCTGTCATTAATAACGTTAACGAATTACATGATATTCCACGACAGGATTATTGAAGGTTAATTAAGCGTAACAAAAAGTGAATGTGTTATCAATTTTTAAATTTTTAAAATCGTTTGCGGAATTCTAAGTTTTGCGTAAAAAAAAACTTTTACTATACATTTTCGACTTTTGCACGAGGATTCATCCTTTTCCCGGTGTTGTATCTTGTCCCATCGTATTGTCTCGCGTAGACAGAGTGTTTCTAAACTGAATCCCATAAATAAAATCACATATTCTACGTTTTTCCGCTTGATTTTTCTACGTAGAACATGTATTTTCATTCGCAACATTCAGTTTAGAAACACCCCGTGTATCTTACACACACATATTACATATACATGTACGTGTATGTGTGTGTATAAATTTGTGTGAAGACTCTCTTACGTTTACTTCCGAAATCAGCATGATGCATTTTTTGCGGATAAAACTTTTTCGTGATTGTCTTAATGTGAAAATTTGTATACACGTAATTCCTTCGTGAAACTTTTTTTTGTTACTTAGCATTCTACGCCCAGCCAACAAAAACAAAAAAATTAAAGAAGCGCAGGTGCCTTTTGAGATTGTCGAGCTAGTCGTGTAACAGTCGATCCGTCATATACATAAAATATTATATATATATATACACACTAAAGAATCGAGGAACTTTCTTTTGCTTGAACGCGGAGGAAAGCCAGACATCGAAAACGCCTTATTATGATACGTTTAGATAGTGAAACGCTGAAATAATAGTAGAAGACAGATAAATAATAGTAGCGTACGTAATTTTTTAAATGTTATATCATTCTTGAAGAAACGTTAGGAGATTTTGTTTATTGTAATATAAATAAATTATATATATATATAGGGCGAAATCTCTCCCGCGCTAAAACGACCGACAATGAATTTACGAACGCATTTTTTATACCGATATATTGAAAACGTAAATTATAAACCAATTCATTAAGTCATTATATTCATTTACTTTCATGTGTAAAAAAACAAAAACGAAAAACAGATACATTACAATAGACTAATTTAATATTTCACTGCGAGACGCGTGCCTGTGTGTTCCTTTCGCAGCCACTTTGCTCTTCCCCAGAATCACACACACACACACATATATAAGTCGACAATAATGTTATGTTTTCTCAAACAACAGTCAGTACGAGTAATAATACACATGATAAAAAGTATATAAAAATAAACAAAAACAAAATGCGGAATATGTTTCTTTTCGTGCTATTTATTGTAAATTTATGGTTTTTGTGTAGTCGAACACCGTCGTTGTAATATATTTTGTGTATATCATTTTTCCGATTTCTATACAAAGAATCAAAGTCGATTGATTACTTATGCTAGTACATAGAGACTTTCCGTAATTTATGTAATTTGCGAATGGCAAATTTTTGTCCTACGTTTTGCGATGGTAACGTAAAATTTATGTGCTCGCGTAAAATAACGTTTTTTTTTGTATAGTTTATATGTACATAAAATATACCGTATATATAGATTTTTACTGTGTCGGGAATGCGATATTTCACGATATATAAGAGAGTCACAGTCATTATTAAAGAGAAAAAACTAAAATGACATATATACGAGTAGTATATTTCGATGAAATACGTTGATAGTAAAACATAAAACAAACTTAAACGACGATATATCGAATATTTGTACATACATACACGTACACACAGACACACAAATCCGTATTAAATTATAAGCTTAGCTGTGTAATACAGGATAAAGTTTTTCGTCTTTCCTCTTACAACTCGATTCGTAATTTTACTCTCTCTCTCTCTCGCTGTATATTTCGTTGTAAAGTACAAAAAGTGATGTGTGTAAAACAACCCGTTTAAAACTGTGTATTAGCGCATAATAATTGAGAACTTAAGGAATTGTATAGAGAATTGTACTTTATATTAGTAGGAAATTTGTACATAATTTTGTTATATATTATTTGATAAAAAAAAAAAAAAAAAAAACACGTATATGTTGGATATACGTAATGAATCTAGCGAAACCGAATGTGTATTAATTTAATGTGATTAATAAATTTATTTCTAGAAATTTTTGTCACTTCACGCACGTAATTGTTGGCGAATCACACGGTCGAAAAAACGCGCTGTATGAAATTTCAAAATGGATATGTGTGGTGGCGCTGAAAATTGACGCGCACATCTCCGCGGTCCGTTTGTTTTCTTCTAGCCTTGAAATGGATCTTTCTCAGAATCTAAATGCTGCTGCTCTCTAGAAGTGTGTGAGATTTGATTATTTGCGATGAGCGCCAAGGAAAATCCCACCTCGGATTACAAACGAAGCGAACGACAGGAAATGCTGGCCGCTCCACCGTTAGACTTGTCATTCAAAAAGGCCACGACCATGAACGGTACATTTAAATGAAAAAGAAAAAAAGACAATTTTGCATAAGTGGCTTTTAACGCTCACACATGCTTCGTGAGTCAAAGATATAAGTTTTTTTAATCGAATTAATAATTCGGCTTATAAAACAAAACTGACAATACTTTTACTGCTTTACACAATCGTTTAGCGAATCTTCTTCGTTTTTTGCAGAATTAATGAACAAACGCGGGCAGATAATACGCACCGGAAAATCTGTCAAAATAGTTAAGGATCGTTATATGACCAGTACGTTATGGTTAAGCAACAATCTGTTGCGTTCGATGGACGGTCTTTGGCGTCTCGCGGAGAAATTTCTCGATCATCCCGCTTCTCTCAGCTGGTTGGATTTGTCTTTCAATCAGATAAGTCAAATCGGAGAAGACATCGAGAGATTCGCGAACTTGAAAATTCTGTACTTACACGGCAACAAAATCTCGATTATCGCAGACACGCTCAGACTGCGAAATCTACATAATCTCAGATCGCTGACGTTACACGGTAATCCAATTGAGGACACTCCCTGTTACAGAGGATACATTGTGCACCTTCTCCCGCAGTTGCTCGTCTTGGATTTTTCACCGGTAATCGCTGCCGAAAAGAAACAGGTACTGCCCGTTGGATTTTCCAAGATGACTCAACCCGATATAAGAATATAAAACTTTATTCCTATATATGTTGTTGCATACTTTTGATATATACACACATTGTTTTCAACACTTGTATACATTTTGCGAAACACATGCTGTGTACCATATTGCTAGTCGAGGTATATTGGCTTTAAAAAAAAAAAAAAAAAGCACACACATAAATGGTGTGACAAATCAATACTTCGAGTGTATTTGTACGGACGTCTCGCTGGTAAAATTTTTATAAAAAAACAAAAAAAAAAAAAAAACTCATAAGTTGTATAATAATTTATCGTTGTAACAATTAATGATTACATTTCGCAGAAAAATATATAATACCTGTAATCTTTTGAAATTGAAATCAGAAATATTTACCGCACACTTGCAAGCAGTTTTTATTTGTGCAAGCAATTTATTATATGCTTTCATTTCCTCATTAAACATCGTTCGTTTATATTGTGTTGTGGTTCTGTGTTAGTTAATATAAAAAATTACAAATGTGTAATGTATTATCGCAACCTGGAACACATCTGTGTTTTATATCGTCTGGAAAAACTTTCGTGGAAATCTTTCTCGTTATAACTTTTTTTTCACATACGTTATTCATACTTATAAATAGTATAAATAATGAGAACACAAAGTTGCAAAAAGTATAATTCCAATAATTCGTTAAGATTGTTCTAAAAATGATGCGCGTCTTACAAAAAATTCCGAAATAAACTATAATTGCAGCAATTTTTCTTTCTACAAGATATACACTCGTACCTTATAAATCAATTACAATTGTTTTAATATGTTTTGTCGATGATATTTTAAAACGCAACATAATATAAGTTTCTTAAATATCGTTCTCAGTGCAAACGTCTGCGTTTGCTACGATGTTTGTTTGATTTCTCCAAATCTCTGTCCCGAGATCGACTTCGCGATCTGTAACTTCGCGATCTGCGCGACGACTTATGACTACCCGACCGTCGTCGTTGTGATTTTTTGGCCTTACCAGATCTACTATGACTGTGACTTCGGGATCTACTTCTGCTGTGCTTTTTTCGCTTAGAATGCTTTGTTCCTTCGCCACGCGACGGCGAGGTACTCGGAGATCTTGAACGTCTGAAAACACATAAAAACAAATGATTTTGAAACGTTTCTTCATTAAGATTGCGATATCTACACTGTGGCAACATTATATAATGACTTTTGAAGGAGAAATAAAAGGCTTTTCTCTCCAAGAACATTGTCGTCCCCTGTTTCTTCTTCGAAAGATATACGGAACATATCAAATAAAACGTTTGAAGACATTACCTGGGTGATTTGGTTCTTTCGGGGACCGCGTGCGTGCCGCTACGACTGATGAATCCGCCCCAAGCGTTGTGATGCTTCGGCAATGGAGGACTTGGTGTGTGACCGTCGGCGTCAGTGCCGCGCGCCTTGGTCCTGGCCTCCTCGTACTGACGTCGCAGCTCTTCGACGCGTTTTTCCAGTTGTTCCGGTTTTATACGTGGACGCAAATACAAACGTAATATTCGCACACACACATCTCTGATATCCTTTTCCTTGACTCGGAAGATCAGAAACCAAGCAGGCGACGTGGGCAGTGGTAGTTGCAGTTGACGAGCGGCTAGATAAATGCACGCGCACGCGACAGTTTCCGGCTGATGGCGCAAGAACACGTCTGATCGCAACGAGTCGTTCATATAATTCCAACTTTGTTGCATCAAGGCTCGATTTTTTTCATAACCTAACACTTGCAGGTACATGACTATGATCTTGTGAGGATGTTTCACGTGAACACAAAAGCCCAGTTCCTTCAGCACTCTTCTCTCCGATTTGATCACTTGATTCTTGAGAGCTACGTAATTCTGATCGAGAATAACAGGTTGTATTGGTCTGCAACAAGTAATAAAAAAAAAGCTTGCCTTAAATTTTTTCTTTATTCAGTGTGCAGTATACGTTTTGTTTGAATTTTTCATTTTGCAAGATAAAAGCACGAGAGAGCAATATGTACTTACTTTTGGCTAGAAACTTGCTTAATGTGATAAAAAACGTTGATCACATCTCTGATACGTCTCGGTGCTTCCTCGATCTTGCTAGCTAAGCAGATGCAACCCATTGCAGTTATTTCCATATTGTGTCTAACTAATGATTTGCTATAATAGAATCGTTGGAATATTACTTGCCCGGTAGCCATTGCGACCTACACAGATGAAAAAAAACAAAAAAAAAAAACAAAAAAATTAGTATATATATGTATAGATTATGTTCTCAACAAGAGTGAGTTTTGATGAGGTTTGAAGATGATTTTAACCCTTTAAGGACATGAGCAGAGATACTACCGTTGTCATACGTCTTATATATATTTTGCTGTATGACACGTTGACATATCCAGGCATACACCTCGCCACTCATGTTTACATTAGCCACCGACTCTGGAAAGTACATATATATTTTGAGCTATTTTTGTCAGTTTTGCATTATAAAAAAAAAAAAAAATCAAGTACATAGATGCAAGTTCTGACAAGAACTCACGTCATAAAAGGGTTAAAATACATACATAAATTATCTTTACGTTAAAAACAGCCAAAAAATAAATTGACTACACAGGAAGCAAAATTATACTACAAAAAGTAACTATTTCTCAAGTTTCTAGTTTCTTTTGTTTTTAATATTCGTTAAAAGCACACAATAACATATCTGCGGATATTGAATTGATTGTAAAGATGTTCTACTTCAAATGCTTCTAATATCGCTATGTTACATTTATGGCCCATTACTTCGCAATTTTATAAATTTTTTTACAGAAGACTTCACCTTCTTAAAAGTATTAATAAATATTATTAAATTACCTATAGCTATAGATATATGCGCTTTATAATACATTTTGTATATAATAAACTAAGATATTTATAAAACACGTAAATTACGAAGCACACATTTCAGAAATTGTACGCACCAACAACAACGTGTACACTGTACACGTGTGTTCAAATAAAATATATATAACATGTGTACGTATAAAATAAAAATTTACTTAATAAAACGCATCAATATATAAATATAAATTGCGGTATAGTAGTTTTAAAATGTATGTGAAAAAAAAAAAACCCAGTTCCAGTGTGTACAACAAAGAAATGCCAGGAAGACGGCAGATGTTACGAAGATTAGGGATAAGGTTAGGATCGACATTTATATTGACGATGAAGACACGCGAAACGAATTTACCTGCGGCAATTTCAACAGAATACCGGCCGTCTGTATAAGTTCGCATCCGAGTATCCGCAAATCCGCCTCGATTTCCGCATCGAGACCGTCCAAAGACGACGGAGTCGAGTCGAGTTTTTCCTTGGGCAGGAGACAATTCTGCAACGTTAACACGATCTTGCCGTAGGGTTTCGCGTTCGAAACCGTCGCGTTCTTCGTTGACGTTGTCGAGGAATTCTCCTTCGCATTCATCTCGAAACGCTCTCGATTAGAATCCAGCGATACGAACAAGCACGCAAAGGTTTTTAATAAAATTACGATTTTTGCACACAATCGTACAACTCGCTCCGTCAACACGTTGCACATAACCCCATTGTGGCTCCGACAGCTTCCACCAGTCGCTAACAACTCACTCCATCGCCTTCTACAGGTTACGTTCTAAAATCCTATCTTGGTAACCAAAAACTATAGCACACGTGACGTGAAATATAGCATTTTAATAACCAAGGTAGAATTTTGGAACGTAACTCAGTGTTCACAAGCTGCGTTCCGTTTCACGCGTATGCGCGCATTTATCTATACTATACGTCACGTGTACTATAGATAAATGCGTGAAACGGAACGCAGCCATACATACTCGCGTCCTATTCTACGCTTCATTGGCTGGGCTGTGTCCAGTTAAGGGAACAGGAACAAACGCAGGAAATGCAGGAAATACAGGAATTGAAATGCGGGAATAGTAGGAATTGAAAGAAGTCGAGAAAGTGCAAAAGAAAAAACGAGAAGGCGGCTCTCCCCGATCTGTTGCGGAGCATGCGCAGTAGCAGACAGAGTTGTCTGCACACTTTCTCGACTTCTTTCAATTCCTGCTATTTCTGCATTTCAATTCCTGTATTTTCTGCACAGCTCTGTGAGTTCAGCAGAACTCAGCGTTTAGCAAGCGATTTGCGCTTATTATTTGTGATTGAACTTTTCTCGTAAATTTATCGGAAATATGAATGATATACGCCAATGACAAGCAATAATCGCAATGCGCTTGCTGCGTTCCGATGTTCACTGCCAATACTGGAAATCTATAGCATATGTGACGTAAATTATAGAGTTTTAGTACTGTAAAAATATCGGAACGCAGCCACTGGCTTCCGTGGCAATGTGTGTGGTACCATTGCGGAAAAAAATTCTCAAACTTGAAGAAGATTGCTCGCGAATTTTCCTCTCTAGCGTAAACTCGTAATCAAAAGAAAACAATCTTACTCGAAAAGTCGAGAAATTTCTACAAATAAACTCTGCAATATAACAAAAGAAAAAATAGTTTTCGTTTTCTCAAATAGAACAAGCACTATATTTTTTACGCTAAAATGTGTAGTTTGAATTTTTGCGCAAAACTTGAGAAACTCGAGAGTTGTTACCGCCAAATTTTTAACAACAAAGTTCAAGTTGTGTCTTCTTGCATGCAACTTCCGTAACTGATATAAAATTTCGTTGCACTTTGTTACACGTTTTATCTGCGCCAAGATATAGACGTCCATAAACGCTCACGCGTCTCAGCTGTAAGACATGTTGCGTCATAAAAGAAGACAGATAATAGAGAATAAGAAAAAATATTTCCTCTTTAATGCGTCACAATGAGCAACGACTAAAAAGAGGAACTTTCCTCCTTCTCTCCCCCCTCCCTCTCTCTCTCTCTCTCTCTCTCTCTCTCTCTCTTTCTCTCTCGGGAGACAATTGAGAATGTCGATCACATGTCCGCGCATTTATCTGCAATTACGAATAAAAATTGGAAAAATAATTGAAGATATATATTGTCCTGCACAGAGCAAAAATTTCCATTAAACATCTATTTATCACTATTGACGTCTAACGAATGTCAAATGGAGGTTTTGTTTCTTAATATTATTGATATTGATTAATTAAAAAATTATTTATATAAAGTATATATTGCGCCTTTACATTTATTTACATATATACCCTATAAGCGCATAATATTATTTCATATCAAGTAATATTCTGAGCACATTTTTGGAATATTAAACGTACTATTAAAATATTCATATATTCTAGAATATTCTAAGAATATTGTGTGCTTATAGGGTATGTATCATTACGACGTAAACTAATAATTTCTCACGAAAAGTATGTATACACGGAAAAGCGAGAAAATAATATTATGTGTGTTATCAAATTCTTGCCCCTTCCCCAATTGTAGATTAAAACAAAACTTCCGAGTAAACACAGAATATAACTGCTATATAATTAAAAAATATAACACGTAATATAACAACTGTTATACTCTATTAACATCGATGATTATATAACTGTTTTATAATTTTAATATAATTATATGTTATATACCTATTATATAACATGCAACGACCCCATGTATGTATATTAATTGTTACATTTGTTTTATTACGACAATGTTGTTGTTATATATCTGTGTTTTCTGGGTTGTATATATTGCGCAGAAATACATCTATATACGTACATCACCGTAATATCATGTACATATATATGTCTGTATACACACATTTCCGTGAAAACTCGATTGTTCAGTAATCGAACACAAATATTTGTATATACGTTTGATAATAGTAAACACAAAATAATACTAACGTAACATTAATGTTATAATTTCCCACTCAACAATGTAACTGCTACTACAAGATATGTTACATTGTTGTGTGTGTGTGTGTGTGGGAAATTTATATTAATTAATTTTAACATTTTAATACGTATTAATTTATTACGTTACTGTTACTCTGTATTTACTGGAAAGAATCTTATCTTTGCACACGCCTCTTTTTTTGAATAACACATATAACGTGTGATTCAAATAAATAAAGAAGAGATCGATGGGATGAAGCGAATATAAACTTTGAGCGAGCAGACAGACCGCTAGAGCCAGTTTGACGTGATTGACTTATTTCTTTATCGCGCAATAACCTGTTTCAAACGCGAATAAAAGGCACAATCTCTCTCCAGATCAACTTCTCTTGAACTGGCAGCACGAACCAATCATTTTAGTCGGTATTAACTTGGCCTCCGGACTGTCAGCATCATCACAGCCGTCCGTATATGAGTCTTTCATTTATCCCACGAACGTCTCGAGGAAACCACGCGCACGGGAAACATGAAGGTCTCTGTGTTCAAATCGGTCGTTTGCAAAGTACGTATATTGGCGTAAATATTTTTTTTTTCTATTGTTTATATTGTTTATGTACTGTTAATATTTTTTTTAACTGTTAGTCCTCTCACGCTGCACACGTGTAATTATGTTCTTTTTTTTATTGTCTCTCAAATAGACAGACACACACACGAGATATACTTGAGATTTGCACAAATATTATGTACGTTTGTAAATGATCTATAATATTAACTGATATATAGCGTGATATGTGTGAGTGAATTGTTTCCTTTTGCGAAGCATATTACTTATTAAGCATATTAAGCATTTGTTGCAGTAACAGATAAGTTTTTATTGTTTTATTTTCAAACTAATAATTTGTCATGTAATCTTACAATGTATTTTGAGATGTGTCAGAAAAGAGCGTCGAATATACAAGCGACATGAATTTAAAAAAGATAAGCGTGTTATCGTATCTTAAATTTATCGGAAATAAAAGATGCAAGAGAGAAAGAAAAACAAAAAAGAGCGGAAGAGAGAGAGAGAGAGAGAGAGAGAGAGAGAGAGAGAAAGTTTTTTGTCATTTTTATCAGATTTTACGTGAATTGTTATCTTGCTTGTTACATATTTGGTAGTTTTTTTTTTCAATCTCGATGTCAATCTCTCTTTTAATCGTACACGCGATATTAATTTCGCACATTAATTTGCAAATATTAGATATTTTGTATAAAAATTAAGTATTGATATAAAGATCAAGTCGATTTGTATTTCCTAGGATATACGTTCCCTACGTTATTACATGTGTATTGAAAGACACGGAATTAACTGATTTTTTTGTCTGTGTCTCTCGAATGTTACTCTGTAATTGAGAATCTGCATTGTCACGTGTTAGTTCTAAGGTTAAATCACTGATTACAAGTGACAAACCAGACATATCAATTTTCTACATGCATGCACACTGATTTATCAATGGACATTTTGTGTGGCGATAAAGAACATATCTTCTGTGTACATAGAAAAAAAAATTTGTATTTCTCGTAACTATGTTGTTCGTCGATACGTGTTCTTCTCGAGCGCATATACGTTACGTGTGAGGTCAAGAAGAGATACGTTCGAAGAGACGCAAGAGACATGTACGTATCTCTTATTACAGATGTCGCAAACCCTGACGCGCACACAAAAAATACATCTGTGTGCGTCACAGTTCACTCAATATCCAGGTCCTTTGACGCAATTTACAGACGACGAACTAATAATGAAAGAAACTGGTGAGAGAATCAATGTATTTTGTTTTGTTTAAAGATTGTTTTACACATATGTGCACATTGAGCAAGTTAATCGATCATAAAAATCTATTTATCTGTTTGACGCAATATATTTTTGTTATTCATATACATCTTATTTACGTCACACAGTCGCGAAATTGGCGAAGGAGAAAATCGCACCGCTCGTGCGTAAGATGGAGAAGGAGAACAAGATAGACGACAATGTGCTCAAAACGATATTCGATAACGGCGTAAGTGATACGAATTTGTTTGTTGTTCAAATTGTAGATATTATAATCTTATTGGAATTATATATTAAAAATTAGAGGTCACAGAAGTTAGAAAAAAATTAGAGATTTTAAATTAAACAACTCGAGTCGAAATATTTAGCGTCTACATTGAACCTCAATTCCTATTTTTTTAAATAGGAGTTGAGAGTAGGAGTATAAGAGAGAAAGTAGATCCTACTTTGACGCTGCTATACGTCAAAAATTTCCTTTTTTCAAAAATTGAGGTTCAATGTAGACGCTAAATTTCGACTCGGGAAGACGTTTCATTAAAAAAAAAAAAAAAAATATGCTATTGTGTTACACAATTGTTGCACAAGTCAACGATAAAGTTGTCATTTTAAACATCTCCTCCACGAGAGTGATAACACTTGATCGTAAAAAATAATTTATCAATAACAAACTGGGAAGTGGAAATAAGTGTCATTATATAGTTGTTATCGTTTCCTTTCACAAGATGTTTTTTATCGTCTATATATCGCTACACACATACAAGTTTCCTCGCGTTACACGCGTTACGTCAATCTGGTAAATGTATGTATGTGTGTTTTTTTCAATACGTTCTGTTTTAACTTCTACAGCTGATGGGTCTCAACATTCCAACAGATTACGGCGGCACAGGTAGTAGCTTTATGACCACGATTTTGGCCATCGAGGAAGTCGCTAAAGTCGATGGTGCTATAGCCGCTTTGGTAGACATTCACAACACACTCGTAAATACAAGCCTTCTGAGACTCGGATCCGAAGAGCAAAAACAGAAATACTTACCGAAATTAGCGCAAAAATATGTAAGTTTTCCCGAGTCGAAATTTAACGTCTACATTGAACCTCAATTCCTTTTTTTTGATGTAGGAGTAAGAGAGAAAGTAGATGCTAACTTTGACGCTACAATACGTCCGAAATTTCCTTTTTTTCTGCGAAAGTTTTTTAAAGCAGGGTTTAATTCTCAGCTCAGACTGCGCATTGTAGGTTCTGATAGGCTCAAAGTAAGAGTGAGAGAAAAAGTAGATGCTACTTTCACGCTACAATACGTCCGAAATTTCCTTTTTTCCTGTTAAAGTGTTTTAAAGTAGGGTTTAAAACTTGAATTAAGGTTCAATGTAGACGCTAAATTTCGACTCGGGTTATATAGTTTGCGTTATCAATGAACATAAGATATATATGCGTGCAGATTTAAAAAAAAAAGCCACAAAAACCACTTAAAAGTAATTTGTTTTACAGGCTGGCAGTTTTTGTCTAACGGAGCCCTCCTCAGGATCGGACGCTTTTTCTCTTAAGACGATAGCGGTGCGAGATGGTTCGGACTACGTTATAAACGGCACGAAGATGTGGATCTCCAATTCCGATATCGCTGGAGTTTTCCTACTTTTTGCCAACGCAAATCCATCTGAAGTAATTGAAGTTTTAGTCTCTTTGAGCGCGTGCGCAAAAAACTATTAAACGATTCGCTAAAATTTCTTTAATGTTCTCTCGCGCAGGGATATCGCGGGATTACAACTTTCATTGTGGATCGCGAAACGCCGGGCCTGACCATAGGTAAACCGGAAGACAAGTTGGGTATCAAGGCATCGGGCACTTGTATGGTCCATTTCGACAACGTTAGAGTGCGTACACTGTAAAAAATAAATAAAAGCAAAAAATGATCCTTGCTTATATTACCGCAACGTTATTTCGAGGTTTTCATTTTGTAGGTACCTGAGAGCAGCATATTGGGCAAGTTAGGACACGGCTACAAATATGCTGCTGGTATTCTTAACGAGGGCAGAATCGGTATGTAAAATTGATTATAGAGAAATTTACTTTATGAAATATGTTAGGTAGTATTTTAGGTAGAGTTTAGTTTCACTCTTTTCAGTTTTTTATTTAATTAATTATATTATGTCACCAAGCGTTACGTTCTCTTTCAAATTTTATGTACGTTTACACACCAAAAACTTGTTTCGCGAGAAAAAAAAGTAAGAATTTTCTTTTACACTTTGTTCTTTTTGCTGCTGATATCTCGAAATATATAATTTAACATGACAAGAAGTAAAGAAACATTTTTATATTGATAACAACTTTAACAGGCATAGGCGCTCAAATGATCGGTATAGCGCAAGGCTGCTTGGACGCGACGATTCCGTACACTCTTGAACGAAAGCAGTTCGGACAACCAATTTTCTCGTTTCAGGTACGTTTCTTTAAACGTCTCTTTATTTTTCAAAAATAAAAAAAAATTCTTGTAAACTCTTTGTTTGAAAAATCTCTGTCCTCACAGGCGATGCAGCATCAAATAGCTGAGGTGGCAACCGAGCTCGAATGCGCCAGATTGCTTGTTTACAATGCAGCTAGATTACTGGAAGCTAAAAAGGACGTTATGAAACAGGCGGCTATGGCCAAGTTGTATGCGTCGGGTATGAACTTTACGTTAAAAAATTGCAAAATTTCAATAATTCAGTCTGATCAAACAACAATGTACGTTTCATTACAGAAACTGCTTTACGCGTTACGGCCAAGTGCATTGATTTCATGGGGGGCGTAGGATTCACGACAGACTTTCCACAAGAAAAATTTTTTAGAGACTCAAAAATTGGTACTATTTACGAAGGCACAAGCATGATGCAGTTATCAACAATCGCGAAATGTATAAGTAAGGAATATTCTTAAATAGTAAGATATATTAGTATGTTTTTATATAAAATATTGAGATGTATTTTTAAAACGTTAATTCTTAAACGTATTTGTAAAACGTTGATTCTTGCAATATCAAACTACTAAAGTAAATATTATAGGAAAAAATTTTTACAAAATTTTAAACAAAAAAAAAATATTTAACAAGAACAAAAATGTTTTGTAGTTGATATTGCAAAATTACTTCTTTTTAACAATAAGACAAACCACCGCTTCGTTCAGTAATAGCGTTTTTATACTTTTGTATTGTGTTGTAGAAGTTATTTTGTCAGATTTGATAAAAAAAAAAGACGCTCAGTATATAGCGCGTAGTTTGCAATTTCAAAACAATGGAATTAAAAGATATAAATTTTTTATACGTACAATTTATATATTTTATATTTAGAAATAAAAGAGATGTATATAAAATGTGCTGTGTAAAATAAATTTGAACTGTTGTTATAGTATGTACGATAATCTCTTTAATTATAAGGTTCCTGGAGAGTACTCGTGCTGAATCATGACGCCAGGAACAAGAAATTATACAAATGTGTCATACAATTTACATTCGCACAAACTAATCCGCACCTTTTCAATTAAATACTTCCGTTTTTTATACGTACGACCGTCTTCTAAATCATAACGCCAGGAGCGAGAAATTATACAAATTTTTCATACAATTTACATTCGTATAAACTAATCCGCACCTTTTCAATTAAATATTTCTTGTTTTTTTTTTTTTTTTTTTTTTTTTATGTATACGATCGACGAATTACAAAAGTGCTCTACATAACTGCGATCATGATTTTTATTGAAACAAAAAATATACATAGGAGCAGGCACAGGTACGAGCCCGTAAAGCCTTAATCTAGACGTAAACATAAGTCACTCCTTAAATTAAATAACTATGATTAGCCTGTTATTAAAATTCATTACTTGCTAACTACGGAAGTCAACCGAGAATTCAACCTCAGATCAAACAATTGAAAAGAGACAGAGAGAGAAAGAGAAAGAGAAAGAGAGAGTGAGAGAGAGATGTGAAATAATTATAAATATATACAATTCCAAAATAATACAATTAATATGATACAAAGATATTGTGCAGTCGTGTAACGTAACAAGTATTGTACAACAAATATTCTATATATATTACGCACATAACTAATACACAAAAATATAACACAAAAAACAAAGTGAAACACTATAACAATACATAGCTTTCAATTGAAAAAAATTTTTCTTATTTCAAGTAAAAATCTTTGTGCACATAACATAACACTCATACGTCAATTATTCATAATTTATGTTTTTTCCTATTCAGGCGCAGGTTTGCACTTTAGATCATTCTGACCACGTGACTTTCACAAATACTGATTTTCTCCGTTTTTTTTATAGACACTCGAGCTCAGAGACAGACTGATTCGAGATCGTCGGTATATATTGCTTCGTATACTGTTTCGCCGTTTAGAAGTGTATCATCACGTCTGTTTGTAGAAAACGTTCATTTATAAATTTCTATATACAAGAGTCTGATTGTTTTTGTGTATATATGTATGTTGTGTATATTACATATATATCTATTATATAAAAAATACATAATATTTTTCTATCTCGTGTTATCCCGTACTTATTTATATAACAAATACATATAGAAAAAAGTCAACTGCGAGATGCGTTTCCGTCGAGAAGCCCCCCACCCCTCTTTTCGACAATCACGAACCGAATATTACTGTTCCCGAACTCGAATCCGTTTGCTTAAGACTAGGAAATAAACAAATTAGGAAACGAGAAAAGAGCGGAGAAAACACAAAATGATCTAAAGTGCAAACTCCGAGCAGGACGTGTAAAAAAAATAAGTCACATACATTAACATAGAGCTGAGACAATATTGGGTAGAGAATTAAGAGAATATGTTAAATACACAAGACGCGAATATATAGAATCTATATATTGTTTTTTGTTCTTGGACCACTTTTCACTTCTTGTGTTATTTTTCTACGACTACATTTACGCGGCAACATTAACCTGGTGTGTGTTCGGGAAGTTCTAACAAAAAAAAAAAAATAAATATAATATTGTACATTAGTGTTCAACATCAATTGTTTGACTGTGTGAGCTATAAAACTTCTCGCGCACACCTTTTGAATTAGAACCGCGTTTGTAAGGTTTTTTTTTTTTATACCAACGTTACGCGAATTTTTCAGTCGGTCAGTCTAAATCTGTTATCTAACCGGAGACCCACAAATCTGATATACAAAAAAAAAGTCACACGAATGATACACACAAGCGTCATCGCGCGAACACCCCATTTACACCTTCTTAAATTAAAAATCTCACATTTCTTTTGTTTTTTGCTCAAGAGTTATACCGTCGATAAGTACGTGGGAATAAGTCGGGGATTGGTTCGAGCTTTGTGCAAACACACAAAAACTGGCCGTGTGAGGAAAACGAATTTGAGAACTTTTTTCTTAGAGATCTAGACGATATTTTAGTTTTCAGAAATGAGTTAAAACAGGTGTTAAAGCACAAATCCCGAAAAAGCCGTTCTTTCGACAAAAGTCACGACTTTTAATCATTGTTCTTTACAATTAGCGCTGCCGTGTAAAATATAGTCCGCGACTACAAACCCATTCTTGAATATTTTCTTATGCACATTGTATATAGGAAGCTTCTTTCATTTCAATATTTCCGTGTAACTCTGTTTTCGGAAAATTAATTAATTAATATTTCGCCAAGTCTTAATCAAGAAGAGAGTTAGACATTGTTAGCATAATTGCGAGTGTAATTTCTACGTCTATATATGTACACGCGAAAATTCTCAGAAAAACAAAAAAAAATCTCCTTCGTTTGAAATATTACAAATTTTCAATGATGCGTTTGTAAAAATCACTTCGGTGAAAAATGTTTGTAAGAAATTTGAAAAAATAAGATTCTCTCTCAGTTCACTGCTCTACGTATTTTTGTGTGTGTTGTCCTTAAAACGTACGTGTCTGTATGTATATATAATAATATGTATATATAAACGATATTTTTTAATTCTTTTTCTTTTGTGATTTCTCTTTTCTATTTCACTTTGTTAATAACTGTGCGCGCGCGCGTCCTTCAAACACGATTCCGCGATATTTTTCGATTTGCGATGATATATTTCAGAGTTTATTTTATTTACGCTTGGCACACACAGCACGTATTTCTTTCTCGTCGTCTAGTAATCGACACGTGTTTCACGAAGCGTAAGTTTTTAAAATCACGGATGTTAAGTAAAAATATATATTATTTACGCTTCTTCTCGTGTGACAACAACTAGACACAATTCCGATGAAATTTCCACTGCCAACAATCCGTCCGAGGATGCAATTGATTAAACGCTAAATGTATTTATACCTTTTTATCAAAGCTATAAAATTCTGTATACAAAGTTGCCACGTCAATATCTCGAAGTAACGCATGAAAAAATTTCGGTAACGTCGTAAAACGAATTCTCGTCGTCATTACGATCGCTCCGCAAAATCCTTTTTTGATTTTACAGGACTGTCACCACTGACGGTCTTTCGATCGATCTTATCCGCCTTGGATTCTTCGTTCTTCATGGCGTTCAGACTCTTGAAGAAGTTGTCCAGATGCTCGGCGGCTACGGGATTCTTCGCCCACTCTTGCGAGGGAAACACCGCCAGTAATTGTTTCGTGATTTCGTTCACTTCCGGTTTGTCAAATTTGCTCTTGTCGTCGGAAACGGTCGAATCGTCAGCAACACTGTCGTCCGGATTCACAAATCCGGTTGGGTCTTTCACTACAACGTTCGAGGACGTCTGAACTTCGGTCGATTCTCGATCGGTCGAAATGGAACAGCTTTTACTGACCGCCGAACTTTCTATCGTGATCGAGCTGGAGTCTGGACTGACCGGCGACTTGCTGCACGTCACCTCGGTGTTGACGTTGCTCTTTGTCGGGCTAGATATCGCATTGGTATCTCCGTTCGATATGTTGCTGACACCGTCACTTTGCCTAGTGTTACTCTCACTCCTTACATTTACGCCGCTATTACCCGGAGGCGGTGAGGGCGATGCCGTCGATGACACGACATTGGGACTCGTTGTTTCGCGATGTTGTTGTTGTTGCTGCTGCTGCTGTTTCGAATTGTTAATATCGATCGATTCAACATTCGAATCCTTGGTCTTGCTTTCAACAGTAGTCTGATCGTTACTCTTCGCATCTTTGTTGTTGCCAGACGAGAATCTATTATTTGTACTTTCAACATTCGAGGAATATCTCTTTCGAGCGTTCATTTGTGAAGTTTCGTCCGTAGAGTCTAGATTCTCGTTGTTACGAAAACCCGGAAGCTTCTTCGCGTCGCTCGTGGCCGTTCGATTGACGTTGGAATTTGCGAACTTGTCAGAGGATTGTTGCTTATTGATAGGAACTGCTAAAGACGCCATGGAAGATCTCGCGGGTTTAATAGGCGCGCACTGAGCAGCTAGATGACTCTTCCCCGTTATGCCGCTAATACTGGAATTCGCATTGTCGTTGTTGTTTCTGGACGACAGATCTCTCTCCGTTGCGGGAGGACGTTGAGGCGGTAATCGCAGATTATTATGATACTGCTGAAGATTCGTCGCCTGATGAAGGGCGTATAAACTCGGCAAACTCGGGAAAACGGACGAGAGATCCGAGCCTGATCGATTAATGGAACCGAAAGACGGCGCATAAACAGGCGTGCGTGATGGTAGCGGACAGTCGTTGACACGATGAGCGGCTGGTGTCAGAGAACCCGGAGGCGCTCGGTAGTATCTGTGACCGCCCATAAGCGTTACAACTTGGCCTTGATCGGAGATGTCTCCCAGTTGCATGATATCCTTGCTTGGCGTGGATTTGTTGCTCTTGTTGAGCTTCGTCACCGGCTGTGGAATTCTCAGGGGATGCATGTCTATCTTCTTGTTACCTCCGCTCAAGTCCAAGATGTCTCTGGACGATTCCTGTTCTTTCTTCCGTTTGCCCAGAATCGTTGTTGCACGTTGCTGATTCGCTGTCTCGCTGCGATCTATTGGCGACGTCTGTTTCACCGTCATCGGTGCTGTCAACGGTGGTTTGGCTTTCGGCGGACTGGCGGGCATCTTGATCTGTCCGGTCTTCAGAGCTTTCAGCACGCGTGGATCTAACGAGCGGTTGTTCAATGTGATACTGGGATTCATTTTGTTTAGCGTGACCTTTCGACTATCGTTGTCGTTGGGATCAATGGGTTCGACGAATTGTGCGGAAGTACTTGGGGACTTGGGTGAGGTTAGCGTTATGCTCAAACTTGCAGGAATGTTCAGTCCGTAGCCGTCCATCAGAATGTCTCGAGTTTCGTTCGAAATTAACGGACTGGTTGACGTTTTCGCGTTCTGTACATTGGACGTACGACCGCTCGAACCGCCGCTGTGATCTCCCGCCATAGTGGTCCCTCTATTCGTAGGGATTACGTGCTCTTTAGGAGAAATACGCGGTAATTTAACAGCAGGACTGTACTGAGAAACATTTTGTTTCTTGTTGACTTCCGCTTTCTGAGCGATCTGCTGAGACCTCCGGCGTTTCAAGTCGGCAATTGGCACACCAGGTGGGCATTTCCTTTTCACCGCTCCGGCTGGAACAATCGGCGGATCGTTAGGGAAAGTATACACGTCCATTTTGGCAGCGTGATTGCCACTCGCGATATTTCCGCTATTCAAACTCGTTCCTGAATTAAACGGCCGTCCGTCCGCATCGTCGGTTTTACTCGTGTGTGTTCGCGCCGCAGCAGCAGATGTTATGCTCATAGTACATTTGGTCGTTGTATTTGTCGCGATGCTGTTGTTCGCAGTCAAGTTGTTGTTTTCCGTGTTGCTCTTCTTCTTCAACTCGTCGCCATCTTTCTTCGAAAATTCCCCTACCTTCGCGGTGCTGTTTTGAAGACACTTAGCGGCGCCCGCTGTCGGCACATCGGTGTCTCGAACAGGAGATTTTTTTAGCTTGCCGTCGTCTGGCAACGGAGATTCTATGGCAGTCAACTGAAAACTTTGCAGAAACTGTTTTTTATCCTGCTGTTCTGCCGGTTTCTTGAGCGCGGTTTTTGGTACAATTCCACTAGGAGATGTTTTCTCACAGGTCGAGAGTCGATCTACGAAGGTCACTTTACGTCGTTGTTTTTCTTGCTTATCGGCCGATGGCGGATTCGAGTTCAATTTCTCCTTTTCTTGCAGTTTTTGCTGCTGCAGTTGCTGAAGTACCGCCATGGCTGACATCGGTACCGCATCTTTATCTGTTGAAGCAGGACGCACTAAAGTGTTACTGATGATTTTCGGTTTGTTACTGATGATTTTCTTCGAGTTGTTACTTTGTAGCGGTGGACATTGCTTCAATGTGAGCTTCACTCCTTTAGAATTGACAACACTAAACTCAGGATTCGGTGGACTTTTAATGTCTGCCGTGGTAGCGGTTTGTTCTTTTTCGTTCGCGTTAGCAGCGGAGGAAAGACTCTTCATCACCTCGTATCTTCCTTCCGAATTCTTCAGTATCTTGATAGGACTCTTTATCTGCTTGTTTGAATTGCTGCATGTCGTCGTCGAAGAAGACGTGTTTGTTCCTGCGGAAGGAGATGTGGTCGTTGTGGTTAATGTCACGTGTGTCGTGTGCGTCAAATGCGTCGATGTTGAAATCGGCAATTTCGCGGATTCTGCGTTTATTTTGCTCGTTTCATTCTTCTCAATTATTTGTTTGCGATTCGCAGACGAGGTTATCTCATCGCTCGCGATCCGAGTCGAATCGTTCTTTGTCAAAGACGATGTCTCGTTTTCACTGGCAGCTTTAACTTCCGATTTGGAAGTTTCCGGATGACTGACGGCTTCGTTGCTCACATTATTGTCGTTCTCCCGCGTATCATTCGGAGGCAAACAATCTCGCGCACCAAGTCCCGGAGTCGACGGTCTGTGATGCAAAGGCGCCTCCAATCTTTGCTCCTCTTGCGCCACCCGATAGAAGAATCTCATCGGCGCGATCTATAAGAAAAACAGTTTTTGTTTATTGTTAAATACTCTTATATCTGACACGATACTTGAACAACTCAACAAAACAATACATACTCTCTTCCATGCATAAATGTAAGCGACATCCATGAGGGTCCAGTTTTCAGGGAGAGGTGCGAGATGACAAATTTCAATTGTGTATCTCGTTACATCGACGCTGTATTTCATCGCTACAAATTTCTTTAAGTGCGCAATAGTCACCAATGCCGGACATTGCAGGTATCTTCTATTACTGGCGGTACTACAGCTGTGATTATTGTTGTTATTGTTGTTACTATTATTATTGTTGTTGTTGTTATTAGTACTGCCATTGATGTTGTTTGAATTACTACTCGTGTCCGTTTCCTTAATGCTCAACACAGTTAACGGATCGACTCCTGGCGGAAGGTACTCCAAGCTCAAACTCACTACATCTTCTGGATTGAATATTAACCGCCCGCTCACATCTTCACCACGTTGCTCCGGCGTTGCTGACTTTGCTGTTTTACGTAAAAGTGAGATTTTTAATATTCTCGAAGTATTTTTATTTTATTTTTTTTTTTTTTATTATACAGCCATTTAACAAAGTTCACTTACCTTGTTCGGGATGCATCTTATAAAACTCTCTTCTCATTCGCATTTCCTTATGATATAAACCGGGCACCAGTTTATACACGATGTCTTGTAATGTTTTATCGGCTCTATAAGAAAATAATTACAAATAATTTCTATAAGTATAACAATTTTCACGTACGTGTAACACTTGTATTATATTTAAGATTTATTTATGATCGTACTTGATGTTTGGTTTTGCCTTGTTGAGAACATGTTTGCAGGAAGGACAATGTCCTGCTGCACGCAAATGCTTCAGAATGCAACTTCTGCAAACTAAACAGACACAAATGTGACATATTTAGTTATTATACATATATTTTAATGTAATTGCTAAACGATATAAACTTAAATCTGACGTTTACTTACAAGAATGCAAACATTCCACTACTGTCGTGGCATCTATGAAATATCCCCGACACAATGGACAGATTAAATGTGGATTCACATCACGCAAGAGCGTCTTCTTGCCAATACCAACCATCTTTACGTTGCGTTGGAAATAACTTGCAAAACATAAAATCTGTAAAAAAGAAGAAAATTATTTTCTCTTATTACAGTATTTCGAGTAAACTATAATAATGTGTTAAAGTTTACTCGAAAAAATCTGAATCTCATTACAAACAAAAATCAAAATTATATACAGGATATTCAATAAATTTGCATTAATTGAAGAAGGGGAAAAACAACGGACGAGTGAAATATATTTATGCAAGTAAATAAAAATAGGATGTTTCCTCCAAAAAAAATTTTACTACCCACTAATTCTTAATAATTCAGCTGTACTCGCAAAAAAAAACATTTTTCGACAATACAAAAACTTTAGCAATCGCGCCATCATGTCTAGCTGAATTTTCTTCTCAGGTAGTTACGACTCCCGTTGTCCCCATTGTAAGTCCCGTCATCATCCCCTCCCTTGACTCGCAGTAAGTACTGGTGTGCTCCCTTATTCTCCGACTCCTTCCAGGATCATCCTTTCCGTTTTTCCGCTCGCCCGGCAATGCGGTTAAACCGCCAAACGTCCCTTGTAACGGATATTTGCGTGTGTGCACGCCCGCCGAATACCATATACCTGGCGGTATTGATCGAATATCGCGGTATTTTGCGACCCGTCGATAAGTCAATTCGTTTAGCCAGTATTATTAAAATTTCAGATTTCGCGTGATTTTTTTCCCCCATTTTTTTTTTCCACGACTGAAACTTCTAGCTTGCTGAGTGTCAAGTTACGTACGTGCACGTCATCGTAAACGGATTGCGTGAAAATGTGAAAAAGTTTTAAAGCTTAATCGTTTTAAAAATAAATCACACGTAGAGAGAGAGAGAGAGAGAGAGTGAGAGACAAGTTCGACGATCCCCTGGCTACGGTGTTAATTTTCGAAATGACTGAATAATTCCTCAAAGAGAGAAAATGGGAAAAATTGTCTATACTCATTTGAGGAGTAAGATATTTAATATAAAATAATTCGAATCAAAATCGAATTGAAAAATTTAATGTGTAATTATTTGCACTTCATATCTACAGTCAGCACTTGGCTTGGTTATTTGCCATGGCAACTGTTTCTCTCTTTGAATTATCTCGCGAGAGCCTATACATGTATGTGTGTACTCTTTATGAGTCAAGTGAAGATTATCTACTATCACATACATATACATATTTGGATCAGTTAGGTAAAGATAAGCGGATCATCAATGTAAAGAAAGATCGGCAAAGGGAATATCTAAATTAAATTAACCTTTATCACATACCGTTTTCATCCTATCCTATTCTCTCGCGGAGTACTATATCCCGCCCCCGAGAAGCGCGTCTTATACCCCGCGTTTCTCTGCGAGCAATGTCTAGTATAGGTACTATGTCTATTTATATCTGTATACTGCTGCTGCAAGACGAAGAAGCGAAATTCTCAGCGCGGTGCAAACGCAACGCGCGAACTTAACGGGGTACGAAACGCAAATATACGCCAAATGATATCTCTCACACGGATATTAATAGTAGTATATTATAAAAGTAGTAGAGAAAATAACAACAATAAATAATTCGAAGATCATAACTATTCTTTTTGGTGTCTATCATTTTTTTTATATGTATCTTTATCTCGACATATCGATAATGTCATCAGTCAGACGTCGATCTGGTCACTGAAACTGTTTTTGATAACACAGTTTTAGTACGCCTAATCCTCTTCTCTTAAAAAAAAAAAACTTAAAAATATCCGAAAATACAGTAAAACAATAAGTTCTTTCTCGCGGAGAGCGAGCGCGAGAAGGTGTTCATTATCGGAATTCAATCACGATAATCCGTTGAGGAAGAATAATCTCGAAATATCCAACGTAAACGTGGTCAGCAAAAGAGGATCACCGAGAATCACACGCAAGAAGGCACACGTGCCTCAGAAATTAGCACGTGCCACGAGCAATCGTTTGCGACGCATTGCTGCGCTCGTGTCAGCGCGCCGAGCAAAAAACAAAGCAAAAGTGAACGCTTAAAGGCCTTTGTGGTAAAATTTTCCTCGCGGAGCAACAGATAATGCAAACCTCAAAGTAACCGCGCGCTCGCTTTATACTTTTCTATCATATGAAAGACACCGTCTCACATCATATGACACTGTCATGTTCATTAACGTTGTGTAACATTGGCTTATATATATATATATATATATATATATTGTGCAACAGTTTTTTCATTTCTCGAGACGTTTCTTGCTCTTAACGGAATGTTGTGATGCAACATAATCTTATTATATTACGCTACTTCCTAAATATTCTCAATTATTTAATTATGACAACATGTAAAATAATTTTAATAGTTAACGCACTAAAACACCGTTAACTAACGATGTTAACTAAGGCGAATGCGTGTAATCTTCAATTCTGAAAAATTCTTGGAAAGAAAAACGAAAAAAAAAAATCACAAATTACTTGCGAAGTACCGTCTCGACGTTATGCGACATTGCATGAGCAAAGGGAGAGCAAAGGGCGTTCGACAACACCCTTCTAGATGCCAGATTACTCTTTGTAGTTACCTAGCGACTAGTACGATAGAGTGATCACGAAAAACAGACGTTCAGGGGAGAAACTTGGCTTTTACGTTATTAAGAGCGGGAAGAAAAAGAAGATCGCCTTGCGGGACAGACCGTTCGATTCGCAATCATGAACGAGAGATCGAAAAGCGAATACATTTGTGGATCGATTTAGCCCCGCCCTCATAAAGACGAATAACTCTCGGAGCGCACATCCAAGCGGATTCTCTCTACGGAGTTTCGATTGAAATATGGTGCGGTCTATTGCGGAAATACGATCTCGCGCATAAAGTTACATCGATTTTTAATATTTCGAGCACATCGCTCGCAAATATTACGATATTATAGACCGATGTGATGTATTCAAAGAAAAAAACTATAAATGATATCATCCGGAAAATACATAAACACAATCCAGTTCAATATATGTAATAATACTTGATAACAATAATTTGACGGTTATAAAAATTAATAAATTACTTAATTGATACATTTCTACTTAAAAATCTCATTTTTTTCTCGAATAAATGAATCATGAATCGTACGAATATGTAAACACCAAACACGTGACGCGTGGACTGGATTAGTCCGGCGACAACTGATGCGATTACTTACGTAACTGAACAGTTGATACACGATGAATTTAAAACGTTAGAAGTTAATTCGAAGATTTTTTTATTCTTGAAAAAAGTAAGTCTTTATTTTTAAATCTTAATCAAACACATAATTATTGTTGTCGCGCATATTCATAATAAAAAGATTGTCAAACTTTCTATATTTTTTTCTATCTATTTCTCACGTTTAATGAAATTAATTTTTTAATTTATGATAAATTAATAAACACAATTATACGAGAAATTTTATACGTAGCATATACCATCGACTGTTATATACACGTATATGTGTTTTTATATTCTTGCTTAGATTATATTTGCACAGAGTTTTGTTGATTTTATATTCGCGCTAAAAAAAAAAATGCATAGTATAAAAGTAAAAAATAGCGAAAGATGTGTTCGCCATTTTGGAAAACATTTCCATCTCTCGTACAGTGTCAAATCTCTCTGTCTACTGAGAGACTATTTTATATTATATCTCAATGTCGCGATCGGCAGTAGGCCGCTAATCGCGTGCGCATTCCAGTAACGACGCTACACGTATTTTGCCGGTGTGTGTTTGCCTTGCCGATGAAAACGAACGTTGTACGATTCTGCTCGAGAACACGGAATGAGAGAAAACGCATAAATACGAGCGTGTGTGTCTCTCTCTCACAAAGAGAAACAGAGACGCCAGAGCTGAGGAAAAAGAAGGAAGAGAGATAGACAAGAAGGAAGAATACTCGGAGCGCAAAGAGAAACGAGACGGAGAGAGAGAACAGACTGCCTGTCCGTCCCGTTGCTCCATCTCTCGCACACAACCTCCAAACACATTCTATATATGCCACAAGCGCGGACCGGCGCTCGGCGCGTTGCGAGTGTGTACAATTATCCCCATTGAATGTGTATGTGCAAGTGGCCCCGAGTTAACATTGTGTTACTTACGTGAAAGTGCACATGCAAACGGTGTTGATGGCGAGGACGACACAAAATCACGCTGCGTGTTGCCAATACACCAATAATTCTAGACCACGAGCGAGTCTACGCGCGCGCGCGCGCGCGTAGACCAACAGCAGCGAAGCGTTTCTCGCACGACACAACGCACCACCAGTGTACATATGTATAAAACGCTCCAGTCGACGGCCTAGAACGACGTCTCTAGATCTCACGTCCTTCTCCCCTCTCTCACTCTGTCTCTCTCTCTCTCCCCCTTCCCCTTTGGAGTTTTCTCTTTGTGTGTAGGGTGGCCAGGTTTTACGATATCGCGTGGTGTATCGCAATCTTGTTGTTCGTTGCGCTCATCGGTTTCCGACCTGTTTGGCCTCGGAACCCATCGTCCATATTTCCCTCGATTCGCGCCTCATCCGGAGGCTCGCTGCGGAAACGACGGGAGAAAACCTCGCGGAAAACGTTCCTCCGGAATGGCGAAGAAACTGCACCGTACAGGGCGGTCATGAAATTGTGGTACTGTCGGACAGCGCCACGCGGCGCACTCGCGAACTAAAACCCACAGCTTTGCGATCTCTCCTGATGCGGGGACGACGACAACGACGACGTTGGACGATAGGCGAGAAGAGAGCGCGCGTAACAACACGTATAGTACGGACGATGTCTCACGCCGAACTAAACGAAAGACGCGGAGTGGGATATGCCCTTTCCCCTACGGCTCTCCCTCTCCCCCGTCCTTTCTGTCCCTTCTGATCCGCTCTCCCCTTTTCTCCCTTGCCCGCTCCCTCTCTCTCTCGCGCGCGAGTCCCCCCTCGCGCTTCCCCTTTCCTTCCCTCCTCGCTCCTATCCTTCCGATCCGATCCAACTAGTTCTACCGCTCGTTTAGCTTTCTCTTCGTCTCTCCTCGCACTGTGCACGTATCACGGCGTATTTCCTCTCTTTCTCTCTCTCTCGCCGTTTTTTTCTCCATTTTTCTCCCACCGCTCTTGATCGAAACCCCCCTAGCTCTTTTCCGTCTCTTTTCATTACTCTCCTCCGACTCTCGACTGGATGGTATATACTTATCATATACACCAATACGTACAGGCATGTAGAATTGCCCCTCTCACACAACAACCAACGTCCCCTTCCCGCGCGTCATTACCACACAGCTGGGGTTACGACTACTAACTCCCTCCCTTTTCCCGCGCGCTCGTCCGTCTCGTCGCACAGCCCCCTTCCAGTTCTGCCATCTCTGTTCCCTCCGCGTTGTTACGAGCAGAGAGCGGGATGGCGGAGAGAGAGGTTTTTGTCTTCCTCCTTTTCCCTTCGGCTGCCTTTTTTCTATTTCGCGCGCGGCCCTCTCCTTTCTAGCGTGCCCTTCTCCCTTTTCTCCCTCGTTGCACCGCTCGTTGCTGTGCTTCGGGCCACCCTTCTCTTTCGATTTTGTCCTGCACATCCTTTTACATGTACGCCCCTTTTGCCCTTCTCTCCCTCTCGCGCGTTTATATATTTCTATCCTCTCTCTTTCGCTCCTCTCTCCGCGCTCTCCGTTCTCTTCCTCTCTACCCCAGTTCTTCTTCCTTTTCTTCTGCTCTCTCCCCCGTTTACGTCCTTTCTTCCCGTTTCTCTTTCTTTATCCTCATCTCATCCGCGACTCCTCGTAATCGCTTCTTCTCCTCACTTGCTTTTTCTCCCTTTCGTTTTCTCTCTTACTGCGTATAAATCTCTCCTCTCTCCTTTCTTCTCTCTCTCTTTCGTCTTTCTTAAGAACCATTTATCTTCTTCTTTCTTCGTCATCTTTTACTGTGTTTATTTGGGCACCTTTTACTACCTGCGATTTGCAAAACCGCACGCAATTCCTTAATTCATGATGAGACATTCAGTAACCAGTTCTGCGCAACACGTAATTATTTCTCTTTCAATATTCTATTATTAGATATAAATTCTTGTTTATTCACGCGACGCTTGCAAACTGGAAGAAAACGCTATTGCGCAATCGTCAAAAACATTCTTTCGGAATTGGAGCACGGACTTTTGTAACGCGTAAGACAAAACCAGAATCAACCAATCAAAGCTTTCTAGAACGAGAAGTAGGAAGGAAAACGGACGGCTGGATTGGTTGATTCTCTTATGTCTTGTGCCATTATATGCAAAAGTCTGTGCTTTGCTCTTCGTTGCCGCTCTTTTTCTCTTCTTCTGCTCACCACACTCCGCTTGCTCGTATAACTATGATACACACCGCGAGTCACGTGTCTTCACACACGCATCTTACAATCTAATTAGATAAAAGTCACTCGTTTGGTTTGAGTTATTTATTTTCTCGATGCGATAAAATCAGCGATTTTCGAACGAAGAATCATCACCGTGGAGATCTCTATGGTCGCAAATATTAGAAGCGAAGCGAATGATACAAATAAATCTATATAGCGACTCTCGATTTAGCAAGGCGAAGGCACGTGTGACTTTTGATGTCGACGACGCTTTGCCACTTTTGAAAAAGTTGCTGGTGACACAGGTTACGTATAAAGTTTACTCTTTCCGACACACCAGTTACTTCTGTTCGGTGGCGTAGCGTCGCTAATGGCGAGGAGAGTGCGCCAGACGTTAACTTGAACGAGCCGAGAAAAGTTGCAGATTATTTCCGACATTGTTTCCGAGTAATAACGTCGATTTATTATTCGTCGCTGTTTCATAACTCGACGTAAAAATCGCAGATCGTACTTATAAAATCGAAGGAGCAATGTGTGTCTCAACTGCGCGATCTAATTGCGCAGAGCAATTGAAGAAGAGATGTTAAAATTTCTTGCGCGCTAACGCGAGAGAAGAAGAGATTTTCGTGTGAGAAAACCTTCAGATTTTCGAAAAAAATCGGGCTTGAAACTTTGCTTGAAACGCATTGCTCGACTCATGTCTCTAACTTTGTTCATTGCGCGTCAGTTTTGTTCACACGGTTCTCGCAAAACATACATTTCGCTGTTATTGGCGGTAAACTGAAAATTTATGCGTTTAAAGAGAGAGTTACACACGCACATTGTGCCATTCACGTTACGTGGTAAACCGGGGACACAAAATGGAAGTGAGACCGTGACATACCGCAAGAAAATGCGTTCCGAGGAAAAAAAATTTCTATAGTGTCGATTACCTGAGAGCGTTAAGGTTTTAAGCTTCAAAGTTTTAGCAAAATAAAGCTGTTTGGATTTTCTTAACAAACGTTCGCAACAAATTGCGCTACTTGCGCAATCATTGAGAATGACTTTTCTTCGGAAAACGCAAGAAAACCTTTTTCGTTACCTCATTATTGCAACTTATTCTGGTTTTACTTTTTTTTGGTAGATGAATTAAGATTTATTTACGAATGGCGATACTGCCGTAGGAAAAAAACAGTAAAAAGCCAAGTGTTCTCATTGTTTATAGAAATTTCCTCGTTGAAAATGTCAGTCCAAGATCGCGGAGGATGCGCGTAATGGAAAAAATTTACTTCGCAACGTTTTTTACCTTCACATGATTGACCTTAAGAAACGCACAGATTCGCGGAAAAAGATTTAAGTAAATTTATTCTTTTGAAACCCTTTTTGAAAAACATTCCGTATATAGTCAGTTATTTAGCGGAAAACTGTTGAGCTTCAACTTTTTAAGATTAATTAAGCTAAGAACTTCAGTTTTTGTTTTATTTAATTATCGCAGTTTGTTTTGTCTTAACTGCTACACGAATAAGCCGCAAAAGAAACGCGTGAACACGTGAGATTACGAATATCGGCCTATCGTGTACAATGATTCTAGGGCCGTGATCGAATTCTGTATCTAAGATCGTCTCAAGTTCGTATTTCATGTCCGTCAGTAGCCAATGAAACCCCGTTCATCGTCTCAAGATGGTCTTAAATATAAGATCGGACTACTAATATCACAGTCTGATTCACGATATAATTGTTAGATATTATTACATTTTCAACGTTCGATCCATGATAAAGATCTTCGTCGTCTTTCGGTCGACTTTCTCGTCAATTTTTCGAAACAGGAAGCGTAAATCACGGCAAATCATCGAAGCTGCGCGTCACACGCTACATCCAGGCACCTTTCCTTTGTGGATAGTCATTAATACTGACTAGAGTCGTCGTTAACAGAAGAAACTAGGACTGCTAAACTAGTCCCGCCCAGTTGCAACGCGCAACTTCCTAATCCCGACCCACAACTCAACGTTGTGCACACGGCCATCCTGTCCCTCTTTCACAGGACGCCGACAATAAATACTCATGACACAGTGCGTACCTTTTTCCCCTCCATTCTCTCGCGTCCCTCGATCTGGGGGGTCCAAAAGGATCCTCGGAGAGAGAGATCCCTCGAAAGGATCCTCGGACTTGTGCTCCCATCAGAGTTCTCTTTCTATACCACGAAGATTTGCACGGACGGATGGTTCTTTGTTAATGAGACAGAGAGAAAGAGAGAGGGGAACACGACGAATGAGACGCTATCTAAGGGGGGCTCTGTCTTCGTCTTGGCCCTTTCTTCTCGTGCTGCCCGTTCCGCGAATCGTCGTCCTCTTTATCGTGCAAACCACCTATACAGGTGACGATGCGTGGGCGGTTCTATTCCGTCGGTGTGCGTATGTGTGTGTTTGTGTGCGTACACGCGCGTATGTGTCTATATTATATGCGTGTATATGTGTATGTGTGTATACGTGTGTGTGTGTGTGTGTGTAAACGAGCGCGCGCTCGCACGCCGATACTTGCAGTGAGCGTGCGCCGAGCGGCGTCGGTCGATAGAAAGGCTTTTGGGAAATGCTCCACGTGTTTCGCAAGAAGGAAAGCGGGGGAGTCGTGAGGTCCTCTAACGCGCGCGCCTCGTATAAATAGGCCCTTTCTCTCGATATCGCGGAGATACGAAAGAGGAGATAAATTCACACAATCGCATGGTGGATTGTCGGTTTTTTTACGTATGTTCGCAGGCGAACTTGTGTATCCCGTTCCGACGGCACGCGGCGGCGGCGGCGACGATGCGCCGCTGCGCGAACGGCCGAGCAGTTTCAAAGGCGGTAGCGAGAACGTGACAGCGTATCGATTCATCGTTCCACCACCGATTTTAGGACAGTCGCTATCGCGACTCCGCCTCGCACGACTCTCCTACACCCGAGCTTAATGATATTAGAGCGGGTGGTGAAGGGAAGATCTCTGCGGGTGCTTCTCGCAGTTAATGTTTCAACGTATATACCCATTTTGTTCGCTGATGCGGAAGGAAAAAAAGGGATGTGTTATCCTCACGAGATAGTAATGTTTTTTTTTTTAATCAAATACACGATTGTGTTTTTATTTATTGTACATATTTTTAAAAAATATAATAAATATAACTTTTTTGTAACACACGATGCATTATATTTGTTTTATCAATTTACCACTTTTCCACAGATTTTGTTGAAGAAAACATTAGTTTAACCGAAGCGTAATAACGATCGTTTTTTTAATTTTTTGTTTTTCTCACAATCGATGCGACTGTAATTTGACGTCTTGAAACAACTATCGGATCTCGACGCGAACATTACCCTACACCGTTCGCGGCAGACAGAAATTTCCTCCAGACGAATAAATTACATCGCAAATAAGTTTCATCGATTTATCGATTATGTCGTTTTCATGCGAGCCCGTATTAAATTTTTCCAATCTTTTTACATTTTTAG